CGCAGATTCTTGTAGGGCATAAAATCTCCTAAAAAATCTATCTGAGTAATTTTTTTCAATTCAATAATTCGTTTACAGGTTCTTAATTGGTTCATTACTCGAATGGCAAGAGCTTTATGGTTGAAATATGGCAACCTCGGCCCGCTCGTCGGTAGACGACGCGACGGGACGAGTCTGCAGAAAAATCAATAATGCATACGTTCTCAATAGGCAGTGTTGCCATTCTGTTCGCCTATAAGTAACTGTCGAGTTAACAACCTGTATTTGAAAGCTTTGAAACGTGAAAAAAATCAAAATATGCAGTTTTACTGTTTATTGATTAAAATTTTTCATATTTAGCAAAAAAAAAACTAGATTACTCTGAGATAATTACTCTCAGATAGATTTTTTAGGAGATTTGACGCTCTACAAGAATCTGCGATGTAAAATTTTTTATCGTAAACCGTTTCAAAGTTATGGTACTTTTAATGGAAAAAGATTTTTTTACGTAAATATTCACTGACACCTACATATTTAAAATTGAGCTAAAAATCCTGCCTTCCGGAGATATTTTTTTCTCGGTTATTAGGTTCATTTTAAACCAAAAATTCCATAATTTAGTTTTTTTTGGCCCGCCCGGCGCCTTATTATACATGTAAAAATATTTTTGCAACTTCTAATATTTTACTGTATATTGTATTTTTTTTTCAGTGAAAAATTCTGATTATGATTTTTCATTGGCAAAGACTCAATGAGAAGCTCTGATTATATTTTTGAATGCATTCTGCACAGTCTGCACACGCAAAATATTCATTCGCTGTCAATTAAAGCGAGCTGACCAAAAATATCAATACACAGTTCGTTAGGTTAGCTCACCGAAAAAAAAACATATCTACTCAAATGAACTGTATTTTAACCACCAGATTTAAAATCAATACGAAATAATACACTGTTTTTAATAGGAAACCCTGACTAATAACAATTTCAATTAATAGTTAAATATGTCCTGAAAATTCAAAAGGATCTCACTTTTTAAAAGATTTAAAAGAATGTAACGACAAAGAAATTCGTTGCTGGGTTGTGACATCAGTTAGTAATGACGAAAAATATAGTTTTTTTTCGTATACAGGGTGTCCCAGAAATAGCAAATAGCAAGTATTTTAACTGGTAGTATAGTTCCACCCCAGAAACACGCCTATAAGGTTTTTTTCGCGAAAAAAGTTTTGGAAATTCGAAATTTTTTGAAATTTTTTTTGGTTTTTAGTTAAAAAACATAATTTCTTGATAATATGGCAATATAGGTATTAGATTAAATTTACAAGAAAGAAAATCCAGAAAAGATCCAGTGGTTCTCAAAATTTTAGCAAAAAAACATTTTTTTGAGAAATGTTCAAAGTAAATTACAGTTGAGGGTTGGAACCTTTACACAGCAAAATAAAAACACTAAATCACCATAATACACCAAAACACTTTTACTTTTACACTAGACGCGCGTTTCGCTAACCATGTTAGCATCATCAGCAGATGATTATAAACTAATAAATATAACTAAGTTTATAATCATCTGCTGATGATGCTAACATGGTTAGCGAAACGCGCGTCTAGTGTAAAAGTAAAAGTGTTTTGGTGTATTGTGGTGATTTAGTGTTTTTATTTTGCTGTTCAAAGTAAAATAACTCCGTTATTTTAGACTTATTTGAAAAACGATAAAGAGAAAATATGTTTCTTTTATCGAGATCTACCACCCCTTAAAATACTTGCACTTATTTCTGGGACACCCTGTATAGTTATTTAATTATTTCTCGTTGCATTGAAATGAAATTAAGAACTCCTCAGTAATTGATTAATAATTAATAAATCTGTCATTGATTCACTAAATGCGTTTTTATAAAAGAACAACAGATTAAAATATTAAAATTATCTGTATTAAAAGTTATGTATATTTTCAAAATTTATATTTAATTTATTAATCTTTAAGATACATTGAAAGATGATTTAAGAGAAGAATATTCTGTATTGATACTTGTTAAAGTTACACGCTTGCGTGTTTAATATTCCATCCAAAATATCATTATATAATACCATATATATATATATATATCACAAAATATATCGGGTGTTTTTCAAAAGTGGCTCATCCCTATATATTTTTTTTTCAGATAAATAAACAAGATTTGGTATACCTTAGTATATGACATAATTTAGTATTGATTGACGTATTCAGTTGTTTTTGGTCTTCTTTCTGTGTCACTGGAAAGAACTTCAACTACAACTTTTGATTTTTAAATGTTACCGTTGGTTTTTTTTTTACTTTATTCGATAGAAAATGACAAGCTGAATAGAATTAAAAATTAGCATTTTAAATTTCAATCTAGAGTGCCATGGCTGTGTTAAAAACACTAATCTTTAATAAAGAAGCCTTGGAAAAATAAATTTGATCGTAATATTTTTCACGTTTTGTATTGGCCGGTTAAAAGTTTCCCAAATCATATTTCTAATTATAACTCAATTTTTTTCAAGGGAAACGAGGGTGGCAAATTAACATATTTGGAAAAAGCATTTTTGCGAAAATCTGCTACCGCGCACTTGGTATTTCGAATCAAATTGTCGTTACATTTATGGCCATAACACTCTAAATTGAAATTTAAATCGTTTTTTTTTGAAAATGTCAAAATTGACATATGTCATTCTATTCAGAATGTAATTTTCTATCAAATGAAAATAATAACGAGGGTGTCATTTACAAATCAAAAATTGTAGTCATTTCCGGTGAAACAGGAAGTGACCGAAAACAAGTGAATACGTCAATTTTCATTTACGTCATATGCCACCAAACCCATGGTACAAAGAAAACAAGGTATGATCGATAGCGGCTCCAATTTCGTTAAGTTTGCGCATACCACCTGTGACGTCATACGCCATACAGAAAAATATCCATATTGTTCAATTGCCACTAATAAAAAAAAGACCTAAAATAGGGAAGAATCAGGACATAACCCCAAAAGTTATGTCAAATTATCGAGCTTGACATTTGAAAAATTATTTTCGCGTTTATTGTGTCATCTGTTTGACAATTTGAAATTGGCGCGCGGAGCTTGCCGACCAATGGTGCCGTTTATCACCTGTGACGTAGTAACCAACCTGCGCAATATCATACCTTGTATTCTTTGTATCATGCACCAAACCAAACCAAAACACCCGGTATAAATAATTTTGCTCTGACTCCTTTCAAGAGATTTCCTAAAACTTCAGGAATATATCAACTTGATTTTCCTCAAAAACCATGAAAAGCCAATGTGTATTTTATACTTATATATTTTTTGCTATAATGTTAAGCTTTTTTTTAATTTCTGTGAATATTTAATATCTGTCAAAATTCACTAATTTTAACTAAAATTAGGGCACAATCAACTAGAGACAAACACTATAATTTTGTTTTGTATTTTCTGAAACATAATATATTTTAAATTACAAAGGTATTTCAACACTGTTTATAACACTGTACAAAATATAATATATAATACAGGAATATTATTAATGATAATGGTTTTAAATTATATAAAATATTGTTACCAATATACCAACTTTTGTTAAATACTAAAAGAATCTATAACTATTGGTTTTTATTATAATATATTTATAAAATCTTATATCATAAGATGTACTTTAAAATAATTAACTGTTATTTTAGGAGAATGCAATTACCTATAACTATTTAAGCAAATTATCAACAGTTGACAATATTGTTAAGTTATATAGTTACATTTGATATACTTAAAGCTTCTTTTATAGATTGAGATGTTGTGTGGATCTAGTCCATAGATATAGATTAACCTACTCTGACGCCAGGGGCGGATACAGGAATTTATTTTAGGGGGGGCCCAAAATAAAAAGTAATGTAGAATATGCTTTTTAGGGCGCCATTTTTAACGAAAAAGTCTAATATTTAAAACAATCTACAGATTTTAGGGGGGGGGGGCCGGGCCCCATGGGCCCCCTCTGTATCCGCCACTGTCTGACGCACTATCCCATAGAAAATACATATCTTGGCTAAGAAAGTGATGTTTTGTTTATCGGAATCAAAGATAGGTGCTGCTTTTTAGTAAAGAATTAAATATCGTTAAAAATTGTTCATAATGCATTATTTTATTCAGTCAAGATATGCATTCCTGTAACTTAGCGTTTTGAAAGGTTCGTTTTTATAGTTATTATGTTTATAAGAGTATATTTCATGTGTTAAGAGTTAAGATGATTTACGAGAAAATTTGTAGATACATACTTAATAAAAATATTATTAAAAATAAAATAAAAGGGAGTTTTAAAAACATGTTCTATTAATTTATATTAAAAAACCTCTTTAAATAAGTATAAATAGATGTAAGATTATATTCAGAGTTTAATAAAGTAGTACCAGAGGTAGTACTAAAAATGTTTCTAAACTATTTCGAATAATATGAATCAATACCAGAGATATTGATATATCTCAATATCTCTGATCAATACCGAACAGGACGCAATTTAAATACAAGATTTATATTGCCAGTAAACCAAAAACTTAAATATGTATACCTTCAATAACGGGAACATATGAAATGAGTTCATATTATAAACAAATTTATAATAATTCATTAATTTCAAAAGTGTGGTATTATTTTAGAATAAATTTTTAAATACAATAAAAAAATAAACAATTCTATCGGTACCTATTCAATTATAGGAATATATTTTAATCTTTTTCAAATTCGCATATAGTTATGATTTAATACCAGTAGTATTGTCAATTTTCGAAACATACATATATGTATATCATTGTGCTGTTAAAGAAAAACGACATAATATATATTTTGTTAGTATTAAGAATTTTTAGTAGAAAATAAATAAATATATTATCAAAAAGAAAATGTACTTATGTCTTTTATTGGATCAAGTAGTTCACACTCATATTGTTGGAATTACATGTACATCTTCTTGGCAGTCGCTGATTGCAGTCATTGGCATCAGTCTTAAGTAATACTTAAGACTTACATAAGTCTTACTTTAATTATGGTAGACAGAGGCAGTTGTAAATGTTGTTTGCAAATGTTAAGCCTTCATAACACAAAAGATACATGTACTTCAAAATATAAGTTATTTAGAAGCATGCACATATATATTTAATTTACTTACCTATGGCTGCAAATATCAAACGGACTAGGCAAAGAACCAGACGAGATGGGGCGGGACGAACTTGACCTGTCGCTTAATATAATAAGAAAATTAATAATAAAAGAAGTAACAAAAGTAATAAATCAAATTCAGTTAAATTCATCACTACACAATCGAAAAAAACGGCGTCAAAGACGGCTGGGGAATGACGATCGATGATAATTTTGGCGGGGTCAAACCCCAGACGTCATTTCCTTGGCTCGAACTCCCCTTTATTTCTCATTGGCGCTTACTGCCAGTTGGCCGTTAGAAGACTGTTTAAAATTTGACAATTTTTTTTTTTTGGAAATAGATTTGTATGTCGAATGGTTCTGTCCTATTTTAATCTTTCTATAATTAGTGTTCAATTTTGACATTTTTATGTCAATTTTTAGTAAATGACGTCTAGAGATTGACCTCGCCAATATTATCATCGATTGTCATTCCCCAGCCGGTAGCATGAGGAACTACCATTGATTGATAAACTACCATTAACAATTGGCAACAAAAAGGCTACAGCAGACAACAAGTAGGTAATCAGAGTTGGAACAAATCAGTTTCAAAAAGTCTTAAACCTAAAGTCATATTTAAAGTTAATTAAGTTAATCAAAAAATTTAAATCTTTAAAAATTTTAGTCTTTGACTTGAATCATTCTCTTTTCAAGTCAAGTCATTTTCGTAAAAACTTGAGAAATCATTATAATGTAATTTAAGTCGTTTTTATTACAGCACTATATTTTTGATTTAAATCATGATGATTTGCGAGTTATGTCGGCAAAATGATTTAACAACATTACAACATTAATTACATATGTCAAGTTAGCCAAAAATCAATTTAAGTACCAATTTTTAAATGTTAATATAAATTTAATAGAACAGGCAGGGTTCCGTACGGGACGATCGTGTATGGACCATATATTCGCTCTGGTCCATATATAAATGAAAAAAAGTGGCAACCAATAGAGATGTACATCTGCTCTTTGTTGACGTTACAAAAGCGTATGACACCGTTCCGATCCAAAATCTCTGGAAAGTCCTCGAAAGATCCTAAATAAACAACACAATGAGAGAAGCAGTTAAACAGTTATATAATGAGGCAACATCAAGAATAAAACTTGGTACGACGCTATCTGTAAGTTTTCCTGTAACTAAGGGCTTACGACAAGATTGCTGCCTATCCCCGATGTTATTCAAGATCTATCTGAACGAAGCCCTAGAAAAATGGAGTAGATCGTGCAGAGGAATGGGAATACCACTTAATGACGAAACAGCTCTATACAACCTTCACTTTGCAGATGATCAAGTGGTAGTGCCCAGGATAAGGAGGACCTACAATATGACAACAAGACTTTTGAACGAGTATGAAAAGTGGGGGATGTCGGTAAATACGTCTAAGACTAAGTATTTATGTATAGGCCAAGCAGTAGAAACTCTATATCTGGATGGAAATATATAGCTATGCAGCAAATACACCTACCTTGGAACTCAGATAGACTATAACTGGGCGAATACAGAGCGAGATCGAGGAAAGAATACTGAAAGGTAAAAAAGTCATCGGGTGCCTAAACTCAGTATTATGGTCCAAGCACATCTCATATGAGAAAAAACATACTATTTATGATTCCATCTTTAAAAGTATAGTTTTATATGGATGTGAAACATGGCAGCTCACTAATAGAATGACACAAAGACTATTAGCACTCGAGATGGACTTCTGGCGAAGATCTGCGGTGATATCAAGAATGGAAAGAGTACCGAACGAAAAGATCAGGGAAAGTATGCATGTCCAGAAAACGATAATTAATTGATGAAATAGAGAGAAGACAGTTGGTATGGCATGGGCATGTAGAAAGAATGAGTGAGGGCCGAATACATGTAGAAATGCATGTAGAAAGTCTTGAAATGGATACCATCAGAAAGAAGAAAAAAGGGAAGGCCAAAAGCAACATGGATTGGAGGAGTACATAAAGCTATGTCGGAGAGGGATCTTCATCCAGGGGATTGGGAAAATAGGAAAGGCTGGCAACTGGGTACCCGAAGGCGTAGGACGCTATGAACCTGGATTTATATTATTTATAATTATATTACATATAATATAAATTTTCTTGTATAATATACAGGGTGTTTCAAAAAACATGTGCCATTTCCCGTGGGGAGATTCCTCACGTAAAAATAAGATTTATTTTTCTTATCAACATAGGTCCGATTCTGCTTTGTTTCGTAGCTACCGGGTGTTAAAGTCTTAATATTTTTTCGATTTATTATAATTTTCTTCCAAGTACTTTTAGCATTTTGAATGAAATTGTGAGGGTAAAAGTTACTATAAATATGACATAATTAAAGCTAAAAGAGTGTCGACAAATTCACCAGGGACGTGCATATGGGTTTTTCACTGGAATATTTTTCTAAGAAAAGAATGTACGCCATTGACTTTTTTTCTCTTGTTAGCGAAATAGTGTAAGCAATTTAATGTCGATTAAAAGTTGTCTCTTGATATTTTGTGATTTCGGCCTCCTTGATGAGATAAACACAATTTTATTAATTTCCCTTGATCCTAGTCTAACAGCAACCTTTTAAAAATTTTAATATCATTAACTTGCGAAAGTTTTTAATAAGTTCTCATTAATTCCTCATCAAAAAATATGAAGAAAATAGTTCCTATAAACATGGATATGGAAATGCATAGTTTTGGAATTACAGGATGTTAAAACTTTTTAAAATTAGGTTTTTTGTAATTATATCTTAAATACCATTATTTTTTATTTCAAATTTCTGTAGGTTGGACTAATAGTAATAATATTTAATAATAAATTCGGCAAAATATACAATGTATTAATTTTATTTTTATTAATTGTGATTAATAAAATTGCGTTTATCTCACCAAGGCACCCGAATTCGACAAAATATCAAGAGACAACTTTAAATCGGCATTAAACTGCTTACACTATTTCGGTAACAAGAGAAAAAAGTCAGTGGCGTACATTCTTTTTTTAGAAAAATATTCCAGTGATAACCCATATGCACGTCCCTGGTGAATATGTCGACACTTTTTTAGCTTTAAAATATGTAGTATTTATATTCATTTTTCATTCAAAACACTAAAAGTACTTGGAAGAAAATTATAATAAATCAAAAAAATATTAAGACTTTAACACCCGGTAGCTACGAAACAAAGCAGAATCGGACCTATGTTGATATGAAAAATAAATATTATTTTTACGTGAGGAATCTCCCCACGAGACATGGCACATGTTTTTTGAAACACCCTGTATATTAATATATTATTGTAGATACAGATGAAAGAATAAAACGATTTATTTTCAGAACAACTACATACAAAAAAAATTAAATATATGATCATTAAAAACATAAAAACATGTATGAGATTTAACCGACTTTGTAGTGCCTTTTACCTGTCCATTAAGGCTCTCTTTCACACGCCAACATGTTTGCGCAAATTAGTTTGAACAAACCGATTTGCGCAATAATTTGTGCGCGAAAGAGCAAACATTTTGTTTGTACATACTAAAATAATTGGTTTGGACAAATCTGTTCTATTTTAATTTTTGGTTTGGGGTTGGTGCATTTGTGTGCGTGAAAGTGCAATTCAATCCGGTTTCTGCAGTTATCATACACAGAACATGCGTAATGACAATCATGGCATCACAAGTTTCAAAAATAAGTCTACTTAGGTGACATGCCGAAATACAAGTGGAGAATTTAAGATCTTCGTAGGATCTCCCCGTAGCCATAAACCGCAACGTAGCACTAAGCCGTTCATGTGGTGTAATTGCACGTCTCATGACAGTATCTTCCCTCTTAATGATTGGTGTTATTAAACTTATTGTGTTATATATAAGATAAGTTTCCTCGTCCATTCGCAAATAGTTTCTAAAGTCGTCGGGCTCAATCCTTAATTCTTTTATTAAATTAGTATGAGCCAAAAAAGGTCTTTTTTGTAGGGGGGATTTAATTTCTCTTCTTTTCTTTTTCTGTAAAATGAGTTTCTTCTTAATAGTACAAACAGCAGCAACTACTAGTAGTAGTTCCCCCCTCTCTTTGTCTATATCCATATATTATTATTTTTCTTTCACTTTTGTAATATGTATGAATACAAATTAATACGCGAATACAACCACTAGAACTACGCTACACTACCCGATTTGTTCAACCGTTTACAGTACCTATTTTGTGCCAAAATATTTGAGCGTTAAAAGTATAAACATAGACTCCAACAAGTTTGTGATTATGGTTTGTATAAACCAGATTGCGCAAACATGTTGGCGTCTGAAAGGGAGCCTTTACAGTTTAAATGTCATCGAATATAAATCTATTAAAAAGTGATATGTTTTTGGAGGGAGGATCACTATATGCAATAATATATCTATAACTATATCGAATACTAACTGTCAGTGTTTTTAATCTGCTGTTTGGATGCCCGCCTGATAGTTCAAAAGGAAATGCTGCTATTAAAAATTTGCCATAAAAATATATGAAAAATTTTACTTAAATCATTTATAAAAAGACAAAAAATTTAAGTCTTTTTCTATTTCGGAATAAAGATTTAAATCCCAAATCATTTTGAAAATTACTTAAATCTTAAGTCTTAGGTCAGCTTTCGAAAAATGACTTAAAATCTAATAACTAAAGTCATTAAAATGATTTATATTAAAAAAGACTTAAGTTTTTTGCCATTTTGCAGCCCTGCAAGTAGTGTATAACTGCCCAGTTAAATCAATATCACATTATTGATTAAAGTTTAGCCTCTTGCCTTTATGTCTTTGATTTCTCTTCTCATCAATTGATACAAAGTGGTCGGTATCTCATAAAAAATAATAATTCTTACCTTTTGAATTTTTCTAGGACGTCTGGATCGTAACTATAACAATAACAGTTGAATGGACTAGAGTTCAAACTTTTCGGAGTCTTTGGGCTATCCGAACTAGGCGAAGTATCGCATTTAACACTACCACTACTAAGCATTTTTTTAAACCTCATGCGAAAAGGTCGCGGATTTTTTTCAGCTCGTTCCTCTTCCGGTACAGATTCCATCTAAGAACAGAAGCCAGTATAATATATTTAAAAATAGTTCTTTATAACCAAAAATTCAGTAATAATAATTGTAGTTACGTATACAAGCATTTTTTTCCATGTATTTTTTAAATAAAAAAACTATTTTTTCTTCTTATAATAGAAATACCGGGTGGCCAACTAAAAATTAACTCGAAACACAAAAATAAAGAAAAATGAAGAAAAAGTATAGGAAGGGTGAAACCCCACCCCTACATACATTTTGGTATAAATATTTTCCAGCCATGCAACATTAACACAAAAACTTTTTTTTAATTTTCGACAACAACGACAATAAATTGAACTTCCTCGCTCTAATGGGCCACCCTGTATATTCCTTTACCAGGACAACATCTAATTTTGAATGAATACACGGTGAGTTAACAAGTGCAAATATTTTTAAGTCTACGAGGTTTTTTTCGTAAAAAAAAAATCGAAAATTTGTTTTTTTTTTTGAAAAAATTTTGTGATTTTTTTTAGTTTTCAGTTAAAAACATAATTAGTTGATAATATAAGGATAATATGATAACATTGGTAGTAGATTAAATTTACAAGTATTCAGAAAAGATCCCGTGGTTGTGGTTCTCAAAATTTAAGCACAAAATCGTTTGTTCGAAAATTTGAAATTTTTTTTTCAAATTTTCGAAGTAAAGTAACTTGTTTGGATATTTGAAAAACGATAAAGATCAAATATATTTCCTTTATTGAGCTCTACCAGTTGGTAGAGCTTTTAATATTTTCAGAGCTCTGAAAATATTTGCACTTATTTAAGACTCACCCTATACAGGGTGTTCCAGAAATAAGTGCAAGTATTTTAAGCGGTGGTAGATCTGGTCAAAAGAAACTTTTTTTCTCTTTACCATTTTTCAAATAAGTCCAAAATAACCGAGTTATTTTACTTTGAAAATTTAAACAAAAAATGCTTTTTTGCTTAAATTTTGAGAACCACCTGGCTCTTTTCGGGATTTTCTTTCATGTAAATTTAATCTAATGCCTATGTTGCCATATTATCAAGAAATTATGTTTTTTAACTTAAAACTAAAAAAAATTCATTTTTTTTTTCTAAAAACTCCAAATTTTCAAAAAAAATTTTTCGCAAAAAAAACCTCATAGGCGTGTTTCTGAGGCCGAAATATACTACCAGTTAAAATACTTGCACTTTTTTCTGTGATACCCTGTATATATCAGAATACATAATATTTAGCTTTTGCAAAAAAAAACACGATTTGAAAGATATTTCTATTTTATAATAATTTTGGGAAAGCTTTCAATGTACCTACAAAATAGAGAGTGTTCCAAATTCGAGCCTCATCAGCCAGAGACACCAAAAATAGATTTTTAGTAAGAAAAAGATCATATTAATATACATTTTTCGAATAAAGTGTCATACATCTTTGGTTTTAATTAAAATCCAGAACCGTATTTAAAAATTAAAGTTGAAAATGGCGGCTGAAAGAAGAAACATCAGGTTGAAAATTTGATAACACCATCTTGTAGAACAAAAAAAAATAGAAATGAGAATGTGAAATTTATCTATTTATCTATGTAAATAAAGCTACAAAAAAAATTAAATCGCGAATACTCGTTTTTTTACCAAACTATAAATATTTTGAACTTGATTTAAATGTGAACTCACCCTCAATCGAATATGTGCAAGACTCTAGCGTATTGTTTTTTAATTATACTACAACTAACTTTTCTATTATACTCAAAATACATAAAAACTTTTACTGACCTTTTGTAAATACACAAAATTCACTTTATTTGGCGCGTGTAGAGTTCCGCTACTAACTAAAGAAAAAGATATTAAGTTTAAAACTTAATCAGCTTCCTTCATTTTGAAAGAAACCGCAAGCCACAGTGCACTGATAAAAATAAAAAATATGTTTCCGAATTTTTGTGCATTTAGTTTGGTAAAAATTCCTGAATCTCATTCTGCTCAATAATCTTTTAATATAAAAATATCAAGTGAAGAAACTAATTATAGACGTTTTTCTAAGAATTAACCACTAATTTCCGTTAAGTTTCAAATAATATACCATACGATTGAAATAAAACGGTGTCAGAGATAGGACTTGAAAATGAAGATCGCTGTCATTTTTTATTGTAAAGTTATATGGAGAATGTTGTCGATCGTCATTTCCAAGTCAACTAGACATCGTTTTTTTTTCAATCATAACGTTAATATGAATTAGAAATATACAGGGTGACAATTTGAAAACGAACAGTATTTAGTATTGCTTCTACCGATGATAGTATGATAGCTATATTATTATAGATTGATTTATGAAGTAGATTGATATTTAATGTACCTATATTAGGCATTTATTATGTTCTTCAATTTCATTTTGATTAACAATTTTTTTAAACCAATCGCTGTAAATTTCCTTTGTCATGATGTCATGTATTACTGTTTTTTATATTTAGTAAATAGATTGTAATAGTGGTCTTTCTTTTTGAATTTTTAAAAATAAGTTATGCTTTTAATGTATACAGGGTGACAATTTGAAAACGAACATTATTTAATATTACCTCTACCGATGATAGTATGAAAATTTAGCGAAACACACGTCAATTTACATATCAAGAGGGACAATTTTTGAGGCATTTGTTGTCGTGTTACTTTCAACCCCTTGACTCCCAGGGCACCTACCCCTAAAATTTTAAATAGCAACCCCTATTTCTTTTACCATTTTTGAGTTTCTTATAGAATTCTACATAAACTGCATTATTTTCTTGAGAATTTTATAAATAGAAATATATAAATAGAAAAGTTTCGAAAAACAATCAAAAGTTTCAACAAGTTTCAAAAAATTATAAAAAAGTTTTAAAAAATTGAAAAATAAAATTATATGCAAAAAAAATATTTTAAATATTTAATAACATTTCAGAATTAAAAGTTTCAAAAAATGTGGAACGCTTCACGATTTTGCGTGTCATCCTTGCGCAGGGGCCATGCTAATCTTCTCTGTATCGTTCCAATTTTAGTATATGTACCGCCGAAGCGAGTACATTTAGGGGGTTTTTCAAGGGGTATATATTCTTATTTTACGTCGGGAACGAGTAGTGAGATATTAAGTCATCCAATACTTCAGCGCCATCTATAACCAAGATAGATAACCAACGGATTACGAATTATACCGCCATCTGTTACTGACTAGATAGCATTAGTAATAAAATGGAAATGGAATCTAACTTTCAAAATAATTTAACCATATATTTTTTTAATTTAAGCAGAATTTAAGTTTAATCATGTTTAATTTAATATTTTTTGAAGAACTTAATTATCTGCCATCTGTTAATTTTACTTTGTTAATGCTACTTTATTTTTTAAAAAAGTACGTACCTTGTACAATTAAAGAAGCGTTTAATTTTCCTTCTTTTCTAATGCATCGAAATGCTGAGAAAACAATACAAAAAAGATCGGATGCCCGCACTGAAAGGAATCAAGTTCGTTCGGCATAGCGCAAAAGTCCAAAATTTGCAAAAATCGATCAGTTTAAAAATTGACTTTTTGCTTGTAGGTTGGTGGATTTTTATCCTCGTTCATTTATTCTGTGATATAATAGGTAAGATCCAAATTACCCCATATTTTTAGATGATATTTTTAATATTAATCTATTTAATGCAAATATAACAATATCATGCGAAAATAATGATTTTCATTGTTCCTCTCATTCAGTGTTATGTAACAAGATATTATCCTGAGTTTTTCTATATTAATATTTTCCAAAAAGTATCATCAAATAGTTATTTTTACGTTCAAAATTAACTATAAAATTGAATTTTCTTTTTCAAGATCAATTTTCGCGCTACATTCATAAGGTTAGTTTTTAAGGTGTTAAGGTGGTTTTATAACCGTACTTTGACTTTGGCGATTCCAAGAAAAATTCCCGAATTATCACGTGCATGACGTCATTGTTATTCCGTGTCTATTAATTATTTCGTCATGTTTTATGTAAGTTAACCCGACGATCGTCATTTTAAGCTTAGTACTTGATGCTAAAAGTTCGAGTTTAAAGTCTTATCTCGTACCACGTGGTACTTTGATACTTGACAATTGGTGAAAGGATTTTAAATAGCAATAGCAATTCAATTTTTTTTTCTAGTTTTACAAATTTAAAAACCTACTACAACATGGGTGTACCAGCTGGTGATGTAGAAAAAGGCAAGAAAATCTTCGTACAGAGATGTGCACAATGTCATACAGTGGAAGCCGGTGGCAAACACAAAACTGGACCTAATCTTCATGGCATTTTTGGAAGAAAAACTGGACAAGCCGCAGGATTTTCCTACACGGATGCCAACAAAGCTAAAGGTACTTTAATTATTGTCTTTTACACAAGATAACTTAATAGAAATATTTCTTTAAATTTTGCAACATAAATGTGCAATATATTTTATAACAATACGCATAATTCTAGGAACAATTTCCTGTGATTCATAACATTTTTTCGAAAGTTATTTTTCTTTATTTGCAATATTAAATATTTGTTCACAACTAATTAGTACGGTATGATTGAATAAAAACGGCGTCAGCGATTGCTATGAAATGACAATCGATGACATTTTCCATATAAATTTACATACAAAATGATAGCGATCTTCATTCATAGCCATCGCTGACGCCGTTTTTATTCGATGATACAGTATTTATAGCATATTGACAATGTTGTATCAGAAGTTAATTTTTTCCCCTGGATCCTTCAATTATTATTAATTACATTCCTGTTTACAATAAACATTTAATTTTATATAATTATTGTTATAGGTATTACATGGAGCAAGGACACCTTATTTGAATACCTAGAAAATCCCAAGAAATACATCCCCGGAACAAAAATGGTGTTCGCAGGCCTTAAAAAACCCAATGAACGTGGAGATCTCATCGCGTATCTAGAATCTGCAACTAAGTAAATGATTGTTACCACATAACATTTAAAGGAAAATTTCAATACAATGAAAAAATAGTAAAATTGTCTAGAATTCCGATTTGTGTTTCTAAGTATTCGTGTTATTTATAATTAATTTCCTTTGTGGATTTTATGAATCACTCTCTAAAATATAGAAATTAGTTTTAGTAATATTTATTTCTGCATGATTTGTTAACACAAATCGTGAATTCAGACACTAAACAATCTCCAAAAAGTACAGAAAATGTACAGTTTGCAATAGCTTTCTGATATAGTTTTATTATATCTCGTAATACAAATGGTACATTTTTCATTGTCTTGTATTGTTGTTTTCCATGGGATGACACAGATAGTAGTATTTCAGTGCAAACGACGGACAGTTTTTATCACTTGTTACGTTGCATTGACTGTACAAAATAGCCAATTTATATTTATGTATGAAAATTTTAAATTATTCTGTTTTAATTTAAGAAAATCTGTACAATATGCATTGTGTTAAGTCCTAAAAAATAAATTATTTATGTTCTAATAATAATGTAGTTTCATTCATTAAATTATGTAATTATACTGAGCGATATTGATATCGTTAATGGCCTATAGGAATAATACCTCATTTCAAGTTCAAGATTGATTTATGAATAGAATTTACACACGGCCTCCAATCCGATTTTTCTTATCAAATGTGGAACAGTCTCATTTAAAACAATGTTATAAATCCACATTGAATTTATGGGTATGTGTATCGTTCTAAAGGTAAAATATACCGTATGATCGAATAAAAACGGCGTCAGCGATGGCTATGAAATGACGATCGATGACATTTCTCATATAATTTTACATATAAAATGACAGCGATCTTGTAAGAGATTTTTTTAAGACACTGGATCTTTTAAGACCCTGTATGTATTTAACATCTTTGTTAATTAAAGATAACAGCCTTAACGGCTACAGAGTGGTCTGTCAGACTCCTCGTGCAAAACATTTATCTATATTTTGTAAACGCCTGCAATTGTAGAAATGAGGATGCATATATAATATAGGATGCCTCCAAGTCTGTTGGCTAGTAGGAATATGTATTTCATATTTATCTCACTCATCAAAATAAACCAATCGAAAATTTAATGGATCCTTTTAATTTACATGTGGTTTTTTTGAAGGTCCATAAGCCTTTTTTTCAGGACACTGTAAATATACTTATCAATAAAGTAATATCGTGTACCTACAGTATTTAAATATGTATCAAATACAATATGTATTAACATCTAAGGTATTAACGAACAATAAATAAAAAAAATACATCAGGATAACACTTACAAAGTATATTATCAGGAAGATAAAGTTCTAAGATTATTATACCGTATGATCGAGAAAAAACGGCGTCCAGTTGGCTGGGAAATGAAGATCGCTGTCATTTTATATGTAAATTTATATGGGAAATGTCATCGATCGTCATTTCCCAGCCAACTGGACGCCATTTTTTTTCGATCATACGGTATTATTGCGTGATTGTCGGTGAAATCAAAATGAGGTAACTCACTTGTCAAAGAATATGTAAATCTGCGTAACTCGACTTTTCAAGTGGATAGATATAGGTACCTAGATACGTCTAATTATGTTTTAATATAATACCGTTTGATAGAGAGTTAACCCGTGGTTTAAAAATAATTTTAAGAATGTTAATATAAACTTGTCTATATGGCTAATCTACATAATATAAAATGCTAATGTTTATCTGTGTCGTCTCTACTGAAGTAACGACTTGCTCTAGAAAGTTGCTTTTTTTACTAAAAGATAGCTAATTAGCTCTTCTAAAAACTGTCGTCGCCGGATTTTTTGTTTTTCATTTAATTAAAAAAAGTATTTTTTTTCCTGATGTCGAGGCGGATGCGCCAGGCTTCAACTACAGTACGTCTGCTGGATCTGTGTCTATGAAAGGAATGCGGACAAAAAACATTTAAATAAACAACAATATGTTTTATACGTCAACTTGACCACAAATCGCTCCGCCCACTCATTTTATTGGCTACTTGCAAATTTGTCGAATTTTTATTGATGGGACGCGTCGTCTAATTTTTTACGAAAAACATGGAGAGAATATCGTTTCCCCTCTCACGGATACCTCGTAGCTACAGAACGTACTGTAGTAATTAATAATATATTACAGAAACTATTAGGTAATACTAAAAATACGAAAGACCTCCCCTAGAAAGTTCGGATATTTACAAGATATTTATGATATTCTATGTAATGATTGCAATCAAAAATAATGTTGGGGAAACTAGGCAGAATATCAGTAACTGGATTTAAAGAACATAAGGCTCAATTAATACCGTATGATCGAAAAAAAACGGCGTCCAGTTGGCGATCGATGACACATTTCCCATATAATTTTACATATAAAATGACAGCGATCTTCATTTCATAGCCATCGTTGACGCCGGTTTTATTCGATCATACGGTATATAGGTGAGCAGTAGATAAGCCATGTCGGTGGTCTTGTGTTGTTCAACATATTTTTGATAAAGTTTATTGTATAGATGTTGATTTTTTTAATACTTAATCTTTACAATACTTAGTCATTGTAAAGCTAGTTGATTTCTCTTTACAGTATTATGTAAGAAATGTAGAATGTTTAGGAGGGGAGTTAATCACCGCGACCTTACAGATCTATTGAGCGTTCCCATTTCTTGAGTTATCACGTGTTATAACTCATACAATCCCAGGGTTTTAACAAAAGCCAGTATCTGAGACGGCTCCACAGAGGCCAGCTCTCCATCCTCGACATCACCCGTACTAAAGTTCATGGCACAAACGGTCGTCGTTTCGTCGTACTTAATAATAAGGTGTTCTGGTGTTTCCCCATTTTCCTCACAGAATCTGCATTCGCCGTTGTTTCTCAGCTTCAGTCTATTGAGATGTTCGTTGAGGAGGCAGTATCCTGTTAGAAACCCCGTGACACTCCGAAGATTGTTTTTACTTAAACCCCTTAAACTAAGGAAAATCTTTGATTTTTCTCGGTCGTAAGTTCTGAGGAACTTTTTCGAGTGTTTAGACCGTTGGAGGACTCCCATTCCAGGTTACGGATGGAGCCTTTCAGGTTCCTCAGTTCCACCTTCCGCGTTCCGCGTTCCGCCTTTAGTTGGTTTCCGCTTGGGAAACAGAACGGTTCTAGGTTCTAGTCCAGTTAGTGGAGTATTCGCTCCTTTTCTAGCTAGGTAATTTGCTTTTTCATTGCCTTCTATCCCTTGGTGAATAGGCACCCCGAGTAGGAGGACTTTATTTTCTTTGCCTAATTTGTTTAGCTTCTCTAGGCATACTTTAACCAACTTCGAATTGATAGTTACTGAGTTGATCGCGTCTAGTGCTGCTTGGCTACCGGATAAGATGGCTATTATAAGAAATACAAAACTCTTGACTCTTACATCTTTTTATTAGAGATATGGTAATTTAAAAAATTTTAAGCACATTTCTGAGAAGTATATTAATTTAGAGTTTGCCTTGGACAAAGATTTGTTGTTAAAAAATATAATATTAATAATATATAATAATATATTGTTTAAAAATGTATTATAATAAAGGAAGGTACTCCTTGGAGGAACTAAGAAGTATTTACATATTTCAAATATCTCTTTTGTCTAGGAGATATTCTCCCCATTAATAAAATTACACAACTAAAGAAATCTGTGATGAGTTTATCTGTATTAATTAAATATTGATTTGTATATTAAAATTTGCTGACATACCCTTGTTTATACTGATATTTGACTTTATCTACACAGTTGACTTTTCGATACCTATATCGAAAATATCGTTGTTTAAGATAAGATATGTAATATACTTTTTATGTACTAAAAATAAAAATATTGATAATTAACTCTTAATATAACTTGATCACGTGAGAATTAGATAGCTGTTTTGGAGCAAATTATTATTATATTTTTTTTCTTAAAAAAGGTACTCCACTTTTCGCTTAATAATGAAAGCTATGAACGATAGAAACCATCACATCAGGAATGTATATAGATGCTACTGCTAAATATAATGGATTGATCTATGATACATTCCGTTATTGTATCATGGGATTGCTCCATACTCCATACAGGATAGTCACTTTTACAACGCCCACCATTGAGATCTTTTAAATCCTTAAGAATAAATAGTCAGTTAAATGTGGAAAAATACGTATTTATGTAGGTACCTTTGATTAGTATGAAAAAAAATCTGGGACACTTGAACAGGTCTTGAATATTCCTGGAAAAACTTTTTTTCTCTTTTATAATTACATATATTTAATATTTAAAGTAAATGTGGTAATCTTCAATTTTAAAACGATATTTCCAAAAAATATTCAGTTTTTCTAGCTCACTAGATTTTCATAACCACCTCCAAAAAATAATAACAATAAAGTATATAAGTTATTTGTCTATTGTAATATTCTGTGCTAAAGATTTTCCTTATATTTATTTCATCTGAGAATTATATCACATAACATGTGATATAATGGTAATGGAATCGATTATGCTGTGAATAATTTCAGTTTAAAAGTAATCTGAATACAATCATTTACTGTCCATTCGTGCCGATGTTTATGGTTCAGTATGATAATAAGGGCCTCGTACTAACACTTTGTAACCGTACTAACAACTTTGTAAATGTACTAACACGTTTCAACCGCGAATGGACGAATATCTTAGCTCACAAAAGAGCAAACAAAAACAATAAATAGAGTAACTCATAGAATAACTTATAATCTAATGATATTTGCACCAAATCTTCAACTTTACCTTCGAGACTCGCAGCAAGAGACCGTAGTACCTGCGGGTGGGGACCTGCTAAACAAAAACCTCTTCCGTTTTGAATGTAATAAATGTGACATGTTTTGAATGCATGAAACTACCACTACCAACCTTGGTAAGAGTACAGTTTTTTTATTATGTATTATTATTTCTCTTTTATTAAAGTTCAGAATAGCATAGTTGGATTCTTTGGAATAGTGATCAAGGTTTTCTCTGCTGTGCTTTTTTACTTGTGAATTCCAGGCAGAGTACGGCACTCCTTTCATTTCGTTTAATAAGTAGGTCTAATAGGTTTAATATTTAGAAATTTAGCCTTCCGTTTCCATAACCTATTCTCCTCAAGTTTCCCCAAAATTTGCTTCTGTCGGGCCCATCCAAGGTTAATAAAAGGTTTACATTAAAAAAATATTTTTAACAAAACATAGGTTCCTTTATTTCATTTAAATTGTTTGATATGCAGTTGGCCAAAATATTACCTCTTCAATTTTGTTGAACGATCCTGGGTTGTTATTAATAATGGGATAACTCGAGCGAAAATTCGCTCGAGTACTCGATTATTGAAATAACCGACATCGCTCGATTATGAACGAGCGATGCAAGTGACGAGTGCCAAGCGACGAACGCAAGCGATCCTAGAATAAAATAAATTGAAATCCGAGTTTAATGTGGCATACTCGATAAAAAGCCGAGCGAATTTTCTACATACATTGCAGGTAGCAAATTTATACGACGCCGTATATCCGTTGCGTATCTGAGGGACAAAACTTTACGAGCTACATCGACAATGCTTTGAAATAAACTAAATCAAACGAATCGCTCGTCGCTTGCTACTTGCCATTCATCACAGAAAGAATATGTGCTCTGCGCACGCAACTTACTGCTTGGCGTTAACGAGTAGGTACTTACAACAAGCGACGGGTGAAAAACCCTTTTTTAAATACGAGTGATATTTCGCTCGAGCGATCACTCGGTTATTGCAATCGCTTGAAACTCGAGTACTCGATTATTGAAATTAATCGGTTTTTCCCATCACTAGTTGTTATACTACCAGAAGGATTAAAAAAGGATAAAAAATTTCCAGGCACAAATCTATTTCCAAAAAATTATTTTTTGTAGCAGTTTTATCCATAACTCAATTTAGACAGATTTAAAAATCTCTTGTACCTAAAACTCTGTATTTTACATAGTTTTCTAATACAAGTCTATGTTCCGTGTAGGTCATGCAGGCATGCAACATCACAAATTAAAGTAACTATGTGATAAACTAATAATAATCATTATCAGCCCCATATAAATATACTTTATTTAAAAATATTTTTTACACCTTTTTACATTCTAACTTTACGTTTATATTACAGGACGCTAATTGTACAACGAAATATTTGAAAATATAGGGAATATCTATTTCCGCAATATACCTCGACTGATCGCACAATCTGCATACCTCCTTAGATTCCGCCAAATGCGACTTATCAGCTTTTTTCGTTATCACAGTGAAAGGGCTTATGATTGATCCGCATGCGGTGCAAATATTTACCTAAAATCTGACGTGAAACAAAACTAAATTTTGATCATGTCATTTCTTACCGTGGTTTTATCAGAACAATTTAGTAATCGGTCTTGTAATAAAAAGGATGCGCCGTGACTTATAAGGGCATCTCTTTCCATCTCTCCGAACCTGACACCTCCACCTTTCTTTCTGCCTTTGATTGGTTGTCGAGTTACTATGTCGACTGGTCCCGTAGATCTAACCTAATAATGAACATAACAAATTTTTCAATCCGAATAAAGGTTGATTCTTACTATACCTTCCATGTCAGCTCCCTTCCGTTTCCTTTCCGTTTACATAAAATATTATATCATGTAAAAGAATAGGACAATCCGTTCTGTTTCCCTTCCGTTCCATATCCTTTCCTTCTATACATTTTTTTGGCGAACGGACTGAAGCGTATCGGAAACAGCGTTGTCACCTTCTTAATTTGTACCAGCTCTCTTAAAATTTTGCTGACATTTATTTATTCTTTCATCTCTTAATTAAATCTATTACCTTTTTCAAAAGATACAATTTTTTAAAATAAAACTTTTTTATGATATAAATTGTATAATAAAATGTATGGAACTGATCGAACTGATACGGAATGGAAGCTAACGTATAGCGTCAATACAATAAAAATTGCAGAACGGATATAGAATGGAAACGGAAGGTATAGTGAAAATCAACCTTAATGGTTGCTTCCATACTTCAGATATTCTGCCAGACACTGCCAGACAGCTGTTATAAAACTCCTTAGTTTAATACTATCTTTAGAATTATTCGTGTATGTTAATCTTGATAAATATTGACTTGAATAAATATACCGTATGATCGAGAAAAACGGTGTCAAAGACGGCTAGGGAATGACAATCAATAGTAATTTTTGCGAGGTCTTTTACAAAAATTTACATAAAACTTGTCAAAAAATACTTATTAATTACAGAAAGAGCTTTAAAAGGATAGAGCGTTTCCAGACACACAAATCTATTGGCAAAAAAAATATTTTTTCTCAAATTTTAAAAACTTTAAAAATCATTTTTACTCAATATAAAATAAATTACAACCTTTTTAAGGCCAACTGGCAGCAAAAGCGCCACTAAAAAATAAAAAAGAGTATGGTCAAGTCAGGATCGGAATGGACCAGAGGGGCCCGTGAGCATATTTGTAAACAACATCCATGATCGCGATTCGGTTCCAGGCCGAACGATGCTGCGTAAACAGCATACGATATCGCAAATCGGTCTAGTAAATAGCATCCATGATTCCAAATTTTAACTGCCTTAACACCTCTTATAAACAGCAGACGATATCGCAAAATTTGTTGATTGGTTGCTCGTAATCAGCACGCAAGATCGCAAAATACCCAAGTGCAAGATGTCTACCAAAGAATATAGTACTAAATATTATTTTGCAAAAAATTAAACTGTAACTGTAACTTTATTCATTTTGCTAAAATGAATAAAGTTACAGAATGTTTTAAATTTCCAGACCATTTTACCCAATGTTAACGTATGTAAGTTGGATGAAAATAGAATAGTGTCCATTTGTGAATCTATGTTCTGTTGATTTCTCGACACGATTTTATGTTTTACTTTATAATCCTCTATAAAAATTAAACTTTTCACGAATTAACAGCACGTTGACGTTATTTTTTTGTACGATCACCAAAGTTAAGCTGAAGCAACAATATGCGTGGTTGTTATTGGAAAGGTTGGCCGCTTGAAAACATCCCGTTTTTTATTTTTGGCTGTGTTAACAAACAAAATTTGCAACCCTGAATGCTGATTACAAGCAACCCATTAACAAATTTTAATTAATCCAATAAAAAAAGTTTTGGGGATAACCTCAGAATATTACAATCCGGCTGGCAATCGCCACCCTGACTATATGGACCTCTTAACCCTGGTCCAAGTAAGGACATCTAGGGCTAGGCCTCGCTAAAATTATCATCAATTGTCATTCCCCAGTCGCCCTCGACGCCGTTTTTTTCGACCGATGGTGAACACGGTAATGCCGATTTTACTTTGACTTACTTGCCACTTGTCTGACACCATATGCCTCAATCTCTGATAATGGACTACTCCAAAGAATATCATGACGTCCATTTCCCTGCCATCTATCCCAGAATACATGGTCTCATTGCCGTAATAATTATATCCTCCCATTTCCAACAATCTGCCAAAATAGTGTATGGCGGTATCATTTTCGTCGAACCTAAAGGGCGTGGCGTCGTGTACCAAGCCGTGAAGCGCCGCAGATTTGCCGGCCATCACCTCGATCATCATGGCTATGGTCATCCGAGATGGAAATCCATGGGGATTGAAGATTATATCCGGTACTAAACCTACAAATTAATAGAAGAGAAAATTTAAGAACACTTATTAATATTATATATTGTAATCGCAAAACATTTTCCAATCATATCGACATTGACACTAAAGTCTATAAACCTGACTAAAAAAAATGTTGGCAAAAATGTTTAAATTTGTTGTATAATTTAAAATACCGGACTGCTCTTCATTTTACTTTATAGAGCAAATGATTGCAACAGATATTTTATTTAGATTAAAGCTGCAAAAATTAGTTTAAACCGAATTTTATTATCGCTATGTTGATCACATTGCGCCGCGATCAGCAATGTTGCCCTATATTATTTGACAATTATCTTAGTGTCATTATTTTGTACAATATCGTGTTGTTGTTGTTGAATCTTTATGAGTAATTCTCGTTTTTTGCCTATTTTCATAGTCTTTTTTTAAAAATTGCACTTTTCAGCACAAACAGTTCTTTTAAGAACTAAATTTACGAGTTTTTGTATTGTATTTGTTTGTTGAAAATACGCGGAAGCATTTAAACAGTCGAAGCAAAGAGCTTGTAGCTTCCCTGTTTTTTTTTTAACTATTTTGAACGAGAACGTGACAATAAAGGTCCTTTATTACCGTCCTTTATTTTGACTGCAGTCAGAAAAGTAAGTTTGATTGATAAGGACATTATACCACTTTCAAAATTAGTTTTTATTTAATTCTGTGATTATTAGTTTGTGCATTAATAGCACCCTCTTACTTGTTATTACCACTTATGGCGTTGTAAGATAATCAATAAATAAATAACCCATAATAACGCTTATAATAATCTTCATAATGAACTAGTTTTTGTCAATACGTAATAAGTAAAACAAGTTATAAAACAAATAAATAAGTTAATCACAAAAATATTAGTTATTAAATTAAAAATAAAAACGTAAAACTCTAAACTCTAAAAGGTGATATAATATATGTTGTTTGTCAATTTTAAAATAAGGTTCATCTCATAAATCCATCACAATATGGCAGCGCTGTCGCCATCGCTTGTCACTCAAAGTTGATCACGTGCAAGAACAGTTAACCTAATAGGACTGCTTATTCAGCCAAAAGTGTCCGCCAGGTGCATGCAAAAAATACTCGCTTTGTGACGTCATTGTAGTCCTTGTCATGGTTATTACATATACGTATTACTTTTTACCAATATACTCAGGGTTCCCTATTTAACCCCGTGTGCAATTTCTGTGCCGTAAGAAAAAAACAACATAACCCAGCTCCATATTAAAACTGCATAAGTCTATTTCACCCGGATATGGATTGAACTGCGATTGCGCCAAACTCCGATTGATTGTTGTTTTAGTTCTGTTTGGATTACTTTTTATTTGTGCGCGTAAAAGAGTGATTTTGTTTAGTTTATTGTTTTCAACTATTTTTTGATATTTTTCCAACTCCATGATAATGTGTTATAAATAATAAAAATATAAATAAAATTGAAGGTTAGGGGAAATGTCAGTCAACCACTTCCCTTTAAAAACATCGACCAATGAAAACTTCTTCAGGTGAGGCATGCTCAGTTAAATGAATATCCGGGTGAAATAGACTTATGCAGAATTCCATATTGTTCTTTCACTGTTTGGGCTTCACTTTTTGGAGATTAAGCTGAGTATATTTGTAAAAAGTAATACGTATATGGGTTATTAGCCCTTATCCGGCAACCAATAATACATACACGTGCATTATTGGTTGCCAAATGCAAAACGTTCATTATTTATTTATTTATTTAAACACCTTATATGTATGCAGTATAGAAAATTAACTGTATAAATCGTATTAAATACTCGGATAATGCATTTTTAAGAACAGCAGTTCCCAGCATCATCTTTTGCAAGCATTCTTTAATTCATTAATTAATAAACAAAATCGTGGGCACTTAGTAAGCACTTTGTCACAATCCACAACACAAAATGAACGTATTTATACACTCTATAGCTCTAAAAACTTTAAAGACACCTTTCTCACATTTAAAATTGACAAAATAATTAACTTTAAATTTCTCAGCTGCTATTTTTATAAGTTTACCATAGGCAACTAATAATACACACTATCATGACAAGGCCACACAAGGCTTTGACAAGGACTACAATGACGTCACAACTGTCAGCTGAAGCGCGGGAAGAGGCGAACATACGTCTTATGAGGATGCGCAATCCTATTAGTTTACCGTTCTTGGATCACGTGCATCGAAAATTGTTCTGCGATTACCATATATCAAAATAGTGGTAGTATTCCCAATCTTAAACTCAAGAGAATATCTTAACCATGTAAGATTCGCTGATGATATAGGCCTAAGCAAAAATTATATAAAAATAATATATGAACAAGAATCTAATAATAATCTAATAAGAATCTAAAAATAATATATCTATAAGCTAAATACTAAATATAATCTATTACAGCTGTACTAAAATGAGTAACTAATTGTAAAAAATAAAGTTCCAACCCAAGTGCAAGATTTTTGAAATTTTGAACAAAATCCGGCAATACCGCATAAAAGAAATGTTTCAATCCAACTTTTATCTCTTTAATACATTTGATTTTCTATTAAGCTGTCTACATCACTGTCTTGCACGTTAAAATCCAGACAACGCAGTTTCGATGACCAGATCGGTATATTTGGGTCAACTAATACACCAGCTCAGGATATCTACTACCAAAAATCAACAGAAGAATTAAGTTAGCATGGAGTACTCTATCATATTCAAATCTAGAATGCCACTTTATCTAAAGAAGAACAAATTAGACTAATGTGTACTACATACCAGTCATGACCTATGCATGTGAAAACTGGACACTTAAAACGGACTCTATGATATATAGGAAATCGCAGGTCGCACAGCTCGATGAAACCAAATATCCTGGGGAAAACCAAGGAAGACTGTAAAAAATAGAGTAGGTACGACAAAAGACCTGGTTCAGATAGAATCAAATTCTTCAAGTGGCAATGGGCAGGACTCCTGGCAAGAAGGACGGACAACAGATGGACCACAAAAATTACAGCATGGTACCCACGAGGAATTAAGAGACCTAGAAGAAGACCAAACCTGAGAAGGATCATGATATGAGGAAATTAACAGGGATATATTGGGCTCCTATATTCAATAATAGACAACAATGGACCCAATTACAAAGAGATTATCTAGATATCTGAGGGAGACTACATCATAATTGGAAATTATTGAACAAGCCAAACCAATCTAAATAAAAAATACAGAAAACAGAAAGGGCGAGTAATTCCATAGAAGATTCTTTATTATAGAGCGGAAAGAATTACAGGGTGATGCCTTGAAATCGTTATATTTTTTTCTAGAAAAAACTATGATTAATATAAAAAAATTAAAAAGTTACTAAAGTTATCATTTCAGTCAAATAACCATCTAGTCAACATGTTTATTTTTTGTGAATCATGTATTGATACTTTTCATTCCAAATATCTTGAGAATAACGGTTACTCGTAGCGATTTTTATCAAGAGCCATTTTTATGTACCAAATTACGGAAATGCATTTTTTTCACTCAGTAGTTTTATACAGACGAGTCAGTACGGACGAAAAGTTATTACTCTTTAAAAAACAGTTTAACTTAACAATGTGTAGGTAGTGCCCCCTACAAGTAGGAGTTATATTGACATCGAAATGATTTCTGATTTCTCATGTCAAAAAATACTGAAACACCAATTTTCATCCAAATATCAACTAACGTTCAGAAATTATTTGGAAAAAGCGAAATAAAAATGAAATTGTATCTCCGAAACGAAGCATTTTAGGGCATAATTTATACAAACTTTTATAACGAATTTTTTTTATAAAATTCAATACATTTTTAGTAAACACATCTGATAATCCATATTGTTCAAAAAAGGTATTAATTCTTGTTTTGAACAACATAAATTATACATAACATAATTTTAACACAAATTAAATCAGTGACAAATGTAAGTACGTGATGTATTCAATAAATAAAAATATGAAACTACAAAAATACAATTTATTATAGCAGTACCTACCAAGTTCCATAAAATAAAAAAGTGAATTACCTGTCTCTGTAAATGGTAAATCCTCTGCCGGCCATTTTAGTGAACAGATACCTTTCTGTCCTGCTCTACTCGCAAACTTATCACCTACGCTAGGGTTGCGCTTAAATAAAATAACTACTTTCATTACATTGATAAACACTGTCATAATATGTAGTTTTTAGAGTTAAAAGAATATATGGTTATGACAGACGAAATACAAAAAAAGACAGAAGACCTACTTTTAAATTAAAATAACAGACACAACTGTCAGATATACATTCTATCGCTAAACAGACTATACATAAATTATTAGAAAAAATAATCTTTATATGTTTTACTTACAGGTACTCTGTATGTGATGCAAACCATTTTCTTAGCTTTAGCATTAAAATTTCCACACATTTTTATACTGTGAATATAGCATTCTTCTTTGCTTGTGAAAGTTACCACAATGTAAACTGACCTGTCTCCATTAAAATAACAATATAATGGATCTCCATCCACCATTTTCCTACCAATATAAGGTAATCCATCCTCATCTAATAAAAGAGATAGCATCAATCAAAATTAAGTATGTGTAAATAAAGCTTGGGAACAAACCAAGATGTTTTGCTAATTTTTCGGCTTCAGGATTCCTGGCAAAATACGATTCTTCGTGATCGAGTTCAATGAATGAAGATTTATATATCAAACCATGACAAAATCCACGTTCTTCAGAAGCTTTATTTATTACCATCGCATCTTCCATGTCATAACCCTAATTGATAAAAAATACTTGATTTTTAAAGTCCATTTAAAAGCATACTACATACTACATTGAATAAAAAATCTAAGGTGAATTTCTGCAAAACTGAATTATTCAAGTTGTCCTTTTCTGGGTTAATTTTATATTACTAGTATTCTTCCGTTCTGAATGAACATGCAATTATTTCGTTTACAATCAGTACCTCCCACCTTTTTAACTTAAGTAAATATTCTTTGGTTTCCCCTTACCCCTCGAGCATAATTTTTTGTTATATGTTATATAAGACATTTTGTAAAAGAACTATAACATTTTGCACAAATTATGTAAATGAACAAAATGACATAATTGAAAGGAAGGGGTAAAAGTTTGTAGGGAACTTCGTTACAAATGGCTCAATGTTAAATACCTTAAAATCTACCTAAATACCTCTACAAACAGCAGGCGATCATTTAGATAGGATTAAGAGATGGTAAGCGGGGCGATAGTCAAAAAGGAGTGATAGATCTATACAGGGCAAATACGTGAACAGATACTTGATTAGGTTATGATTTTTCAGGCTAAAAAAAATCTGTTTGCACATTTTCTAAGTTCTCAGTAAAGTGACATGAAATTCGGATGCCTGTATTTTTTTGACAGTTACACCCAAACATAAAAGGAATGTATAAGAGATTCAAGTTTTACTGGTACCACAGTAAACGCGAACGAAATCGAGAGCCAAAGCTTGTTATCAAGGTAGTTGAGAAATTGAACAGGACAGCTCCCCTCCCACAATACAAGTGCCCCTGTTCTAACCTTTATAATATAAAAAATACCGGGGATATTTTGTGAACATAAACAAATACTGTATGATCGAAAAAAAAAACGGCGTCCAGTTGGCTTGGAAATGAACATCAGTGACATTCCTCATATAATTTTACATATTAAATGACAGCGATCTTCATTTCATAGCCATCGTTTTTTTTCGACCATGCGGTAAAAAATACATATTTAGTGATAAGCAAATGCAAGACCAAAACCAAGACTCCCTTGATCTTGGTCTTGAAGTAAAAAGTAGTCTTAGTCTTGGTCTTGCAGGGTCCAGTCTTGGTCTTGCTGCAAAACTAATGCAGGTTTTGCATTTTTGATAGATTTTACTAGATGCAAAAAAAATAAAACTTTAAAGAAAGAAATTATTAGAATATTTGTGACAAAAATTTTAATTTTTTAATATATACTGAACATTCCTTTTTTAAAATGTTATACAATAGTCGGGAAAATACTATTTGCAATAATAATTTAAAACAATAATAATTCTGAACAAACAAGTAATTTCGTATATTACATAAACGTGAAAAAAAAATGCCAGAACGTAGAAGTTTTGCACTGGTAGGTCTTGGTGTTGTAGATCAAACGCTAGTCTTGATCTTGGCCTTGCATCTTGTGCAAAATATAGACCGCAAGACCAAGACCAGTCCCGCTTACATATTAAACACATTTTATTACCTTTTGCATGATTAATGTGTTTCACTGCCTTTCCTGTGCATTTATTTCTCGAAATGCTTGTTCAGCATCACTCTCAAATACAGAACTGTCACTCGAACTTGAATTAACTTGACTCTAGGTGTGGATTTTTCAGATAGACTTGCAAAAATATTTTTTTCATATTAAGATTTAAACAAAAACTCTAAACATAAGTAATGCAAAACTATATTCAATAAATCAATAACTCTTAGTCTCAACTGTGAATGTAACCGAAAAAAGGTATAGCAACTGATAACTGATCGTGTTCTTTCGTTCATTAAACAAGTGAACGGACTGCATGAAGTGAATTAAAAAAATAATTTTCACTAAAATATCATCACCTCCACCGACTGCAATCAGAACGAAAGAATACTAATAGTAATATTTGCTTGTTTCACAACTATGCATGTGCAAAGTATATAAATCTGGAAAACATTGTGTTAGACTTTGACTTACATATTTTTATGAACCTGAGAAAGAAGCATCAAAAATTAGTTACTTGTATTAGTTACTATGTTACTTGTGCAATGTACCCAAGTAGCATTTTCACGACTTGTTTACTAAACACAACGTTGGATTAGTTACAAAAAATAGTTAGCTCCGTACCTTAGGTATTAAAATAAATGTAAACGTTGTTGTAACGTTGTGCCGACGTTGAACTAGTACTACAACAAAGTAAAAGCTTCTGCGACGTCGAATAAACGTTGTCTTGTAACCTTTTTTGCTTAAGCGATCTTTAGGTGATTTGGACAACGTAGTTACAATGTTGGGCAATAAAGAGTTTTCCGACGTCACTTTCGGGACCTATTCCAACGTTGCGCAAACGTCGTCTGTTTTACTAATTCCAACGTTGTTTAGATTTCCTTATTCTTACGTTGGTAGGACGTGGAGCCACTACCTTTTTGCAACTGTATTGAACCATAACCTTAAATCTTAAATTTTCACTTCATTGTTCTGTTCAGTTAGACAGTTCAGTGCTGTTTTTGTTTTTATAAAAAAACTTAATTAAAATGGGACGTAAGAAAGGCACATATAAAACTAAATTTAAATATACATCGACATATTACCGATACTTTATCCACTCCCTCGTTTATTTAGAATATAGAGGGCGGCACAAGCTAGACTCTAGGATGACTAAATTAGGCAATCTTGCGACTAGTATACTACCTGTTAAGGCTGAACTGCGACTTTATTAGTCCAGTATGCGACTACTCGAACTACTCCATCTTAATCTCCAAAACAACAAAGTGAAAGCCGCCATGTTGTTGAATAAGAAAATGTTTCGTTCCTAAAATAGCAATTCCTGCTTTTTGAATACATTAACTTGAAATATTTGACCCTAAACAACACGCGGAAATTTTTTTTTCGACTGCGAATAAATTATTCTCATTTTACTAAAAAAAAAATCAAGAAATTTTTTAAAACTTCTTTAATTTTAAGGCCCATTATTATTTTTAAAGCAGAAACAATACATTTATCAATAAAGTTGTTTGCGTTTAAATTTTTTGCCTTGGGTAACGAGTTACAGAGTTGGTTAAAGTGTTTCAATAATTATGATCTTCAAACATCCTCCACACTTAAATACTTTTGTTTTGTTTTCTTTTACTGCCATCTGCCATATGTCTCTAACTAAATCATAAAAATAATATTTTTACTATAATTATCCCAGTTTAGGATAAAACGCGACTTAGACGCCATATTATTATAGTTTTGTATTTCTGTGAATTAGGATTTTAAACAACGTTGCAGTTTGTACTAAATTAGGCTGCTAGCCAACGTAGGTATCCAACGTCGTTTCGACCCAAAAATTATTCTCCAAACTAGTGCAGACTAGGGTTGGCACGAGGTTGTGCCGACGTCGCGACCCGACGTTTGGTCGCGTGACACAACGTTGTCCCGGCGTCCAAATGCTGCTTGGGTATTTTACAACTATGCATGTGAAAAGTATATAAATCTGGAAAGACATTGTGTTACACCTTGACTTAAAAAAGCATAAAAAATTAGTTGTGCAATGCATTATCGTTTCCAGATAAAAAACGTGAAAAATAATATTTTTTTACTATAGTAAGTAATTATACCGGAGGTACTGCCAAACTTCAAGAGGCGATTCCTTATAAAAAATATGAAAAAATTACTATAAATAGGAGTCAAGCATACCTACATTTAAATAAACAGAATGTTAAACTTAAGTAATTATCTTAAATACACTTTAGCCGATTTTCTTAAAATTTGTCGCTGTTCTTTCTCGTAATAAGAACCTAATTAAGGTTCAATTATATTGAAATTATTAAATCCAGTAGCGTCACGGGGGACACCTCATCAAAAAAATTTAGAAAAAAATGTTTTTGACATTTTTTTTGCACCACTGACTTTTTTGCAATTTTTGTATATTTTTTAGATTTACTTTGAAAATTAAAAAAAAAGATTATATTATGTTGCCATATTATCAAGAAATTATATTTTTAACTAAAACAATTTTTTCAAAAAATTCCAAAATTTTATTTTCGGGAAAAAAAACTGTTTCCGGTGTCCAAACTAAAAATATTTTCACTTACTTAAAACTCACCCTGTATATGAAGAATAACAATGAGAGGTTAAAATTTACTTATTTGTATTTGGATATAGGCTTGGTGCATTTCAGTTAATTTCAAAAAATTTCGACAGCAGCGCTGTTTACGGCAGAAATCCGAAATTTTCGCTATGTATTTCACGCCGTCCCGGTTACAGTTCATGTTGGTCGCATTAAAATAATATTGAAATCGTGGCTTTGCCGTAATAGTTAAGTATTTTAATTTTTTGCTAGTGCAGTTATTGAAACTATAAAACACTCAGGCACGAGGTTTGTGTGATGTAACGCTGTAGAATCCAAACTAGGCGTTACTTTTTTTAAGTCAATTAGGGATTAAATGTCTTATTTTTATTAATTGTATGTAATGTTTTATTTTATTAATTATACAGGGTTGTTCACCACATACGACACAGAGTATTGTAGCTAAACGATTAGGTTTTTACAAATTGTAAGTTTTGGGTTCGTTGAAGGACTATTAGAGCTACAATTTAAAAATATTTTTACAAGATACAGAGTGTCTCAAATAAATAAAAAATATCAAAGTTCTATTTTTTAAATGGAACACCCTGTATATTATTACAGTTTTAGTTTCTACGATTAAAATAAATGTAAATTTGATTAAGGCTTATTACACTTAAACCTTACCGTTTTTGAAATATTTTCAATTTTGTAAAATTGCAGTAAAAATTTTAAAGCTTCATTTCTCCGAGGGTATCAAAGTTTTTAATGCTAAATATTTACTGAAGTTTATTTACTGATCAGTTATTGTGTTGAAATAATAAAAATAATACTACCTCATACAGAGTGTCTACAAAGTTATTTTAAATAATTTCTAGCTTTAAACGGCAAAAACTTATTTAATTTAAATGGAATGCTCTGTATATTTTAGGAGAATAAGATGCACAATTTAATTGTCTATCGAATTGTATTATACCACTTTTTACCTGTCTCTTCAAGTTTTCGTAGAAAATGCATTTTCTTATAATTTAGACCTCATTTATCAATATACCCATGGAATATTGATATTTTAGATTGTTTTTAAAGCAACAAATGTACAGACTAGTAATATTCTCGTTTTTAGCAAAACGATGATATTACTAGCCCATTTATATGCAAAAAGAAAACTATTTAAATCTTTATAAAAGAGTATACCATTAATTAAATATACCACAATTATTTCCGCCCAAATACTAATTAGTTAAATACTTAATTGTGTTAGTTAATAAATTATTCTTAATAAATATGGATTTGAATCAGAAATGAATATAATAATAAGTTATGAAAATGAGCGTCTCTGTTATAATAAATAAACATTTGTCAAAAAAAGAAATATCATTTTTAAGGTGTTACTTTTTACCACACTGTCTAATACACATACCAAATACATTTTTTGGTGTTTGGAGCAATTATTATTAATCAACGCAAACAGTCAATTAATGCAGTTTGAATACTGGAATCACATTAATTGGTCCTCTTTAACAAATATTTAAACAGTTTTTTTTATTTTTTAATGAAATAATCGAACTATATCGACAATATTAGTGTCTGTACTTGTTAGTCTCTCTTACTACTAAAAATTTGGTACATCTTTAAAAATAATCTAAAATGTCAGTATTTCATGGGTGTATTGATAAATGAGTTCTAAATTACAAGAAAATGCATTTTCTACGGAAACTTGAAGAGATAGGTAAAAATGGTATAATACAATTTGATATAGACCATAAAATATACTGGGTATTCCATTTAAATTAAACAAGTTATTGCCGTTTAAAGCTAGTAATTACTTAAAATAAAATTTTAGATACTCTGTATAAGGTAGTATAATTTTTATTATTGCAACACAATAACTGATCAGTAAATAAACCAGTAAATATTTAGCATTGAAAACTTTGACACCCTCGGAGAAATGAAGCCTTAAAATTTTTACTGCAATTTTACAAAATTGAAAATATTTTAAAAACGGTAAGGTTTAAGTGTAATAAACCAGGGTGGACCATTTTGGTTGTTATTATAATCAAATTTACCTTTATTTTAATCATAGAAACTAAAAATGTAATAATATACAGGGTGTTCCATTTAAAAAAATACAACTTTGATGTTTTTTGTTTATTTGGGACACTCTGTATCTTGTAAAAATATTTTTAAATTGTAGCTCTAATAGTCCTTCAACGAACCCAAAACTTACAATTGGTAAAAATCTAGTCGTTTAGCTACAATACTCCTTGTCGTATGTGGTGAACAACCCTGTAATTATGTACCTTTAAAAAAATTCGTTACAGCTGAAACAGCCCCATTTATGACCCCACTAGCAACCAAAACTATGCTCGCTACCGTAGTTGAACTCATCTAAAAAGTTTTTTAGCTGGAATAATAAATTATAATACAAATTAGATCAAAATCAAAATATTTACTTTTTTATTTTTATTTTTAGAATTTTCACAAATTATACTTCCTATACTTTTAGAATAATTATATAATAAATTTTTCGTATACTCGCTATTTAAACCCGTGTATTTGTGTCAGTTGTTTATTCTTACTCTATTACTATATTCTCTGATGGTGGCAGCACTGTCGGAGAATGCACCAAGCCTATAAGGATTGAAACAGCAAATTAACGAGTCCGCGTAACTTTATATTTTAACATCTTAAAAAAACTGAACACCAACGCCACCGATAAACCTGAATTCAAGTGAGCCATAATAGAAACCCTTCGCGATCTCTTTAATCTTGTTGATTTAATCCTTCCTTTACTTTTTTTATTCACAGACTTACCGTATAACTGATAACGGCTACAATTGCATTAGTACCCATAGCAAAATCATCCAACAGTATTTCGTCGTGATGTACTGGCCTAAATAATGGAGTACTTGGAGTTTGCAATCGGTAAAGTTTAGTCTCCGACTGTAAGTCCCAGTTGTGACATGGCGTACCCATTGTTTGTTTACCCATTTGACACTGGTACATATTTCTGGGACTCTGGTTGCAATCGGGCATAGGAATAAGCTGTGCTAGATTAGACAAGAAATCTATTTTTGATAGCTCCATATGGGTAGTTACACCTAAAATAAAATTAGATTATTGTAATATTTTGAAGACATTGATATTTTTTTTATTATTCTAAATTTTTAAGATTTATAATTATTAATCTACTATTTAAACATTATATTAGATATTTAGAACCAAAACAATATAAGCCGACATTTTTCTGATACCAAATTATGACACTTAATAATAAGAAATATTTGTTTCTCAAAACCTGTCTAATTAAGATACAGGAAACACAATGACAGCAAAACACGAAGCAACAAATTCATACTGTCAATATAATGTAATATAGTAATAAATGTTCGCCACTGGTTTTTGCATTGCAACTAACAAATTAAAAATGAACTGTAGCAATTTGTAGAGGACTATTTACAGGGTGGACCATTTTGGTTGTTTCTATAGAGTATCTAGAAAACTGTGAGAAATATTCAAATTTTGATACTGCAGTTACGGTTTTTTTTTGAAAAAAATCACAATGGCCCAAACGGATCGTGGCTATCTTGATCGGTTTCGAAGATACAGGGGGATTCTCAAATTTTGTGCTTTTTGAAGATGTTCGATAGTTTATTTATTTCAGTAACTACGCAAAAATGAATTAAACATTCTAAAGGCACTTTTCTGTGTAGAATGCAGTGGAGTAGTCAGACTTTTTTCGAAAAAAAAAATTTGTTTAGATATTAACTATACTTATGTTTCTTTTTAAATAGAACCCCTAGTATATTTTTAAATTTCCTGATTCAGCTTGGCATGGGCTTCCGTCATTAGGCACCGTCTCCGTACGCAGCCGCTAACAGCATTTCGAATGTTGGTTACACATTGCAAAGCCACAACAAAACTATCTTATAGCTCTTCTAATATTCTATTTACATTTCGATTAAATTTAGTTTTTCAGAAAGCCCCAGAGAAAGAAGTCCAAGGGAGTGATATCATTGCAGGTGACCTAGATGACCACCTGATTGGTGCATTGTTTGAAATTCATTTTTGTCCAAAGTTCGAAATGCTGTTAGCGGCTCCGAGGACATTAATATATTGATTTTCTTCATCCTCTTTCTGAAAAAAGAACCCGAGACTGCAGTATCAAAATTTCAATATTTCTCACGGTTTCCTAGATACCCTATAGAAACAACCAAAATGGTCCACCCTGTACCGGGTGGCCAACTAAGGATGGACGCCGGCTGTATATCAGAAACTACTTATCGTATAACTTTGGGAAAAAAATTCTATTAAGTAAATCGACCAAGAGAAATCGCTGGAAATTATTTTCAAGTTCGCAAAATGTTTGCTAGGTGGCGTTTCTCTAATAGCCAATCAGAAAACAGGGGTTTTCTCAAAAATATGCAGGTGAACGGGTATTTTAAATATTACTGTTATAATCATCAATCATAAAATTTGTAATTTTTTTGTTATAGAGTATTTTGCTCTATCTCATGAAATAAAGTGGTGGGGAAGGTTAAACTTGCTTTTATTAAAATAAGGATAACTCTCTGTGGCTTGGGTTACCCGATTTAAACAAACTAGGGCTCGTTTAATAGAGCTTTTCTTCCTTAATGATCTCCAGTATAAATTTTGTTTCTATAATTTTTTTCGTGGTAGTTAGAGAGCGCTGTTTGACATCACAACAGATATTGCGCGTTTGCATAAAAAATTTAAATAGGAGGCTATATTTCTCTTTGCACAGTTAAATAGAGCAAAAAATTTCCAAAATATCAGCACAAACCGCAACTTTCTATCTTCTCTCTAACCGGAGATATTAAGAGAACAAATCCTGTTAGGCTGCCGCTTAGGATTATATGGTCTAAAAATTATAATAGTAGGCTAGGAAACAAAAGAGGTAAATTGGTTACGTCAAAATATCAAAACATATATTTTAATTTCATTTTAATACTATTTAATTGTTATTTATCCATGTTCGTTCTTGATTCGACCCCATAAATTAAAACCAAGGCATATTGAATCCGATGACCTAGCTGGTCATGGAAATATGCCGCATTAGCGTCTCTATATCTACTAAAGTAAGTGGTATCGAAGAATCACCACTCGTTCATAGCAAAATAAACGACACAACTGCACCAACTGCATTCATGCGGATGAAACAAATGCAATTTCATCATGATGAATCCCTAATAAAATTGGCAATTCATTTCTTAGAAATTATAGATAGTTCATTTCATTCAGATAATTAAAAAAGTCCAATCACTCGCCATCCTAGAATTCCTGCCTAAACATTCCTGCTAGTCATTGGTAACACTCTAATTTTTCGTGTGTTGATACAGTAACACTGACACCTTTTCCGGTATCAACACAGAGTATCAGCACGATTGTGTCATATGGCACAGTAGTGAATAAGCGTTATTTCAGTTACACACACAGGGTTTCGTGTTTGCGGTTTCTCGCGCTCACTGTCGAGAGGCCCGACGGCTGACGCGGTACTCCAAGTTACCAAATGATAAAAAATTGCGTACTTTGAAATACAAGAAAAATTAAACGCCCTTTTTTGATAATTTAAGGGTAGTTTCACATACAATGTTATCTAATATAGCATCTTGAAGAGCTAAAATAGTCTTTTAAATTAAAAAATTAGAGCACACATACTCAATAAAAGGATGATGGCAACAGTGGTTTGCAAAGGTAGTTGTTACGCAAAATCGGAGATCGGTAATTCCCATAGCACTAAGCACACCACGTGTTTTGTTTGAGTTTACAGTATTTGTATGCATAACCGATTAGCCTCTTGAATATTCTCCCATAATTATTCTACCTACTAACATTAGCATTGGCAACAACGCGCCGCGACGATGTGTTACCTAAACAAAATCGAAACTGAAAGGCATTAAATCGAATCCATATTGTAAGAAAACCACTCATCAATAAAATATATATTTTCTCCACGATAAGAAACAAAAAATTCATTATTATTTACTATCAATTTTTTATAACAATAACAATCGAAAAGATGTAAACGCCAGTCTATACGTCAGATTTAGCTCTCCATCCTCCCATGAACCATATATTTGAGACGTCGGTAATATTTATTTCATAAACAATAACAAATTTATCGTAGATTTCCACTAATACTGAGTCTATAAAATTGCAAACACATTGGCCCAGCATGATACAATAAAACTGTTTTATTGTATCATGTATCATGCTGGCATAGCCAACCTAACGAAATGGCACCGCACCCGCGTCACGATACGATACCAGAGACGATACTTCACGCGAAAAGCTTGCAGCGTTATATTAAAAGTGTGAGTGTCAAATACATCATTGACGCCGTTTTAACACCATGACACAGCGAACCCAACGAAACTACACCGCGCCCGCGTCTCGATACGATACTCCGTGCGGAAAGCTTGCAGCGTTATATTAAAAGTGTCAGTGTCAAAAAATTCATTGACGCCGTTTCAACACCGTGGCATAGCGAACCGAACGAAACTGCACCGTGCCCGCGTCTCGATACGATACTGCGTGTGGAAAGCTTGCAGCGTTGTATTAAAAGTGTCAGTGTCGACAAATTCATTGACGCTGTTTCAACATCCATGACACACTGAAAGGTGTCAGCACAAAAGTGCCATATAACACAGTGTTACACATGGCTAATTCCTGCCTAAACATTCCAAATGTCTTGGTGCTGAACTACTTGTATCTTGGGCAGATTTGGACCATCAGTATAGTGCATATTGTTAAGATTCGCACCTTCGGTGCATATATGAAAAGTGACTCAAACAACATAAACTTTATACTATAATATCAAATAACACAAACAACAGGTAAAACACGAAAACAAGAGAAATCAAGAGAACGAACTAAGATTAATAGCTAATAACTGTAATGACGTTATATGAAATAAACCCCTAGTTTTCAGCCATACGAAATTCGACCGTTTTCTGTTAAAAGCAATGTGGCGGCACAAAATTCATAGAAATTTTAATGAAATTATTGATTGTCCAACTTTCGGACATTTTAATCTGAGAACTACCTACGTATAATTAACCAAGAAATTCGTAAAAATTATATGGATGGATCATAACGTTTAAATATTTATATTATCAACACGTTTAAATATTTATGGCGTCATTTTTTTAAGAAAACGCCCGAAATTCGGATGCATGAAAACTGAACTTAAACGTTTTGATATTTTGACGTAACTAATTTACCTCTTTTTGTTTCCTAGCCTACTACTATAATTTTTAGACTATATGTATAATCCTAAGCAGCAGCCTTAAATGATTTATTCTCTTAATATCTCCGGTTAGAGAGAAGATAGAAGTTGCGGTTTGCGCTGATATTTCGGAAATTTTGTGCTCTATTTAACTGTGCTAAGAGAAATATAGCCTCATATTTAAATGTTTTATGCAAAAGCGCAATATCTGTTATGATGTCAAACAGCGCCCTCTAGCTACCACCAAAAAAATTATGGAAACAAAATTTATACTGGAGATCATTAAGGAAGAAAAGCTCTTTTAAACGAGCCTTAGTTTGTTTAAATCGGGTAACCCAAACCACACAGAGATATCCTTATTTTAATAAAAACAAGTTTAAACTTCCCCCACTACTTTATTTTATGAGATAGAGCAAAATACTCTATATCAAAAATATTACAAATTTCTCGATGATTATAATAGTAATATTTAAAATACCTGTTCACCTGCATATTTTTGAGAAAAACCCTGTTTTCTGATTGGCTATTAGAGAAACGCCCCCTAGCGGACATTTTTCGAACTTGTAAATAATTTCCAGCGATTTCTCTTGGTCGATTTACTTAATAGATTTTTTTCCCAAAGTTATACGATAAGTAGTTTCTGATATACAGCCGGCGTCCATTCTTAGTTGGCCACCTGGTACATGATGATTGGACTTGGTGCTTTATGCTAATATTGCTAATACCTGACTAGTAATATAGTGTAAGAGTTTAATACCTGAGAGTGTTTTGATAAATATGACCACCCAATTTTGTTTAGCAATCATACCATTTTTATCAATCCAGAAGAACACATTTTTGAAACAATGTTTACATAAAAAGATTTCTTCTTACTTTAGCTCTACGGTTTTGATTACATGCCACTAAAGAAAAACTCGAAATCGAACTTTCGAAATACGAATGGAACTTTGGCGAAAAGAGGAATTAACCATTTTAGAACAAGCAAAAACTTTTATAAAGAATACATTTTTCTCAAAAAGTTAATAATAAAAATGCGTTTCCTCTTATAGTTAACATATTTTATAAACTTCACCCACGGAGGTTATACACGTAGAAATCTCCCCAAGATAGCTATAACAACATCGTACGTAACCAAATAGATTATATATTAATTAACAGAAGATATCAAAATAGTATCAAAAGAATTGCCGCTTATCCTGGTGCCGACATCGGCTCTGACCATAACCCCCTGATCGCAGACTTTCAATTTAGACTCAAACTAATATCGGAGAAAAGAACAACAACACAGAGACATTATAACATTGATAGACTGAAGGAACCAGCAGTTGCAGACAGAATGAAATTCGAATTAACAGAACTATGGGCAAGTAATAACAACAATCCCGGACTTAACGATAGTCCAGTTGACATATGGAACAACATGAAACAAAGCATTCTGACTATTTCCAACGCTTTTCTGACACCAACAACAAAGAAAAACAAACCATGGATGACCGATGAGATACACTCCTTCATGGAGGACAGAAGAATTGCAAAAGTCAAACAACAACAACAAAGATACACCGAAATAAATAAAACTATTAAACAACAATGCCAACAAGCTAAAGAGAACTGGGTAACTGTAGAATGCCAAGAGGCGAAACGCATGCATGCTCTGCACGACTCTGTAAATTTTCATAGAAAACTCAAACAAATTACTGGCATCACAAAAAAAGCACCAATACCTGCCCTAAAACACAATGGGAAATTGATTTTAGACCCGGTAGATCTATGCAGCACATGGAAAAGCTATGTACAATTATTATTTGAAGACCAAAGAGAAGACAGACAACCTCTCAATTGTGAAGACTGGTCGGGCCCGGAAATTCTTGAATCTGAAGTTCAGCATGCTATGAAAGCTATGAAAAATCGAAAAAGCCCCGGTCATTTCAACGTGCATGCAGAAGTTCTTAAAATATTTGACTCAAAACATTTCACATATCTATTCAATCGAATATACGATACGGGTAAAATTCCAAACGACTGGCTAAAATCAACTTTTATAACAATTCCCAAAAAGGCATCTCTAATGAGTCATGCTCTGAAACTTTTTCTTCGAGTCATGCATGCTCGTATATACTCGAAATGTGAAGAAAAAAGCGGAGAGACACAGTTCGGCTTCATCAAGGGGCTGGGTACCAGAGAGGCTTTGTTTTCAATCAAGCTACTAATCCAGAAATGTTATGATCAACGCCAAGATGTCTTTGTGTGCTTCATAGATTACCAGAAGGCTTTCGATAACGTTAAACACGATATTCTCCTAAACAGACTGCTCGAGATAGGAATAGACGCCAAAGACATTAGAATCATACAGGAACTATATTGGAACCAAAACGCGGAGATAGGAGTTAACAAAAATTTATCCACAGACACCTTCAATGTGTGTCAAGGAGTCCGCCAGGGCTGTATACTGTCACCAATACTTTTTAATATATACGTCGAAAAGATATTTCAAATGGCCCTAGAAGGAGAAAGTGGTGGAATTAAGATTAACGGAGTTCCAATTAACAATATAAGATATGCAGATGATACGGCAATACTAGCACCAACTTTAGAGGATCTCCAGCAAATAATAAATAAGATAGAAGACATGGGAAATCGTTTCGGTCTTAAAATCAACGCTGCTAAGACCAAACTTATGGTAATAGGACGCCAGCCTACAATCAACACCGCATTGACCGTGGATGGAAATATTATAGAGCGAGTTCCACGATTTAAATATCTGGGTGCCATGATCAATGAACGACGGGACTGCGATGAGGAAGTTAAACTTAGAACGAATTATGCAAAGTCAACATTTTTTAAACTTAAAAACTTCCTATTAGCATGCAGTCTCCCGCTAACACTTGACTACGGGTAGTAAAATGCTACATATGGCCCATCTTACTATACGGCGCAGAAACCTGGTCTCTCAAGGCTAAAACCCTGAACCGCACCGAGGCTTTCGAAATGTGGACTCTCCGGAAACTCTTACGTGTGCCATGGACCGCACATGCCACCAACGAAGAAGTTTTAAGAACTGCAGGCTATGAACGAGAAATGCTTAATATCGTTAAAGAAAGGAAAGTCTCATACCTCGGCCATATCCTTAGAGGAGACAAATATTACATTTCTAAGCTGATTCTACAAGGAAAAATAGAGGGCCGGCAAGGCCCAGGAAGAAAACAACATTCCTGGCTAAGAAACATACGGGATTGGTGTAACATCAGCGACGCAGCCACCATATTTCGAAGAGGCCAAAACGGCAGTTTACACATTGTATGAAGAGTACAGACAATCGCCAACGTGCGGCTAAGCACAAGGCACAGGAAGAAGAAGAAGAAAGTAACGTTCTTTCTTTATTATGATAAAAAATAAATAAAGTTTTGATGACATCCGATTTGCCAAAAAAGGACCAAACTTTTTAGTTTTTGTACCTACGTTATTGTTAGCCCGTATAAAATGGGGGTGTAAAACAGGGTGTTTCAAAAAACATGTGCCATCTCTCGTGGCCATCTCACGTAAAAATAAGATTTATTTTTCATATCAACATAGGTCCAATTCTGCTTTGTTTCGTAGCAAAAGGATGTTAAAGTCTTAATAATCTTTCGATTTATTATAATTTTCTTCTTAAATAATAAGTACTTTTAGCGTTTCCAATGAAATTTTGAAGGGAAACATTATTATCTAAAAAAGTGTCGATAAATTCATCAGGGACGTGCATAGTTATCACTGGAATATTTTTCAAAAAAAAAAATGTGCGCCACTGATTTTTCCTTTTGATATACAAATTGTGTATGCCGTTCAATGCCAATTAAAAGTTATCTCTTGATATTTTGTCGAATTCGGCCTCCTTGATGAGATAAGAGCAATTTTATTAATCACAATTAATAAAAATAAAATTAATAAATTATATATTTTACCTAATTTGTTAGTATGACTACTATTAGTCCAACCGACAGCAATTTCAAATAAAAAAATAATAGTATTTAAAATAATTACAAAAAAACTAATTTCAAGTTAATGATATTTTTTTAAAGGTTACGTATATTCCGTTAAAAATTGCGTTTATCTCATCAAGGAGGCCGAAATGGACAAAATATCAAGAGACAACTTTTAATCGGGATTAAACTGCTTACACTATTTCGATAACAAGAGAAAAAAGTCAGTGGCGTACATGCTTTTTTTTAGAAAAATATTCCAGTGATAACCCATATGCACGTCCCTGAAAAATATGTCGATAGTTTTTTAGCTTTAAAATATGTCGCATTTATAGTAACTTTTACCCTCAAAATTTCATTCGAATCGCCAAAAATACTTGCAAGAAAATTATAATAAATCGAAAAAATATTAAGACAGCACCCTATGTAGCTACGAAACAAAGCAGAATCGGACCTATGTTGATATGAAAAATAAATCTTATTTTTACGTGAGGAATCTTTCCACGAGATATGGCACATGTTTTTTGAAACACCCTGTATATTTAAAGCTGTTATATTGTTTCCGAGTCTGATTAAAAGTGATAAAACATCATTTTATATGCACAGGGTGGCGCACCTCCACGCGCGATGTGCATAATTTAAAATTATTTTGAAATGTACAGGGTGTGTCAGAACTAAGATCCATACTAAAGGTATATTTTTAGCCGACCATACCAATAGGTATGGTAGGCTATTAAGATCAGCAAAAAAAGAGTTTTTTAATTTCACTAAAAATGAGTTATTTGGGTCATAAATGACCTAAATACAAAATATTTTCATGGTGTCTGTCTGTCTGTCCACTGTAACACGATAACTCAAAAACTGCTAAACCGATTTTAACCAAATTCAAAACCAAAGTCGCAGTTTTTTTTATTAACATATTTTAGTATGGGCGGCTATACGTGCTTCCCGGCGCCAATTTTTTCTTATGGAACACTCGGTATTTTATCTCATTTTTGGATCCTTGGACATAAATGAGGAATTTATTATAAGGGTTAAATATATGTTTACAAGCTTGTTTTTGAGATATTTAAATATGCAAATAATGTTACACCCTGTACATGGAATGTCAGCGATCGTCATTTGTACAACGCCATCGCCAACTTAACGCCGCCGTTTCTTTTTATCACAAGATATCTGAAAAAAATATTAATAGAAAAAGAAGTTGATCTGCCTATGACTGACTCTACGGCTATATTTTTTAATTTCCTGATAGAAATAGAAATTTAAATAACACATTCAAATTTATTTTTATGCTGCCATTGTCAAAAATATCCCTCTTTTATTAATCTGTAATATAACAAAGCTATCTGTTAATCATATTATTGTGTCAATTATTAAATTCAGTAAACGCCTGTAAATTGGAATGCAACATATTTCAGAGAAATAAAAATAAAGTCGGTACTTATAATCAAAAGTACAAAAAAACAGAATATCCCAAAATCTAAAATCGTTTTTAAAATCGCATTTTTATAAGGTGGGGCTTTTCCTCTAAGAAGTAATTCTATTTTTTCTATGTAGAAAGGGAAAATCTCTTCCATTTCATGTATCTATAAATAGATTAAATTAATTCTATAGGAAGCCCAGTTATAAAATATGTATTGGCAGAATCAATATTGTTCACTATTAGCCGATTAATTTTTACAAGGTTACTTGCAAGGAAAAATAATACAACATGCTTGAATAATTCAACTATATTCACAACTTTTAAAGAGACCGTCATGTAATTTTTGGTTTCAAATTAGTTAGTTAACTTAAAAATAAATCACAAAACCATACAAAAATATGAAGAAAACATTGGCTAAAAATGTATTAAAGACACCTAAAATCTGATTAAATATGATCAATTATTCCTCTAATAAACTAAAAACACAAAATGGTGATTAAACTATGCTGTATTAAGATGTGTGCTTTAATGTAGTTTAAATTATTACTTTAAACATAATACTGAATAAATAAACAGTGTTATATATCATACATATAACGTAAATCTACTAAGAAACAAAATCCACCTTTAGTTATGTACCCTAAATACAAAATTAACTAAAAAATGCCAAAGATGTTTTTAAGTTATTTAAAAATTGGGAATGATAAATTCAAACTTAATTTCACAATCTATCTTTTTAAGAATTGTTAGTTATCACCGGCTCCTGCCTGAAATAAATGTTCTACATCTTTGTACACTTCTTCCTCTGGCCTGGTAGCATCTATTTGTCTTACTAAGTTGAGCTTCGCATAGTAATCAATTATAGGTCTAGTTTCAGACAAAAAAGTATTAATGCGTTTTCTTAAACTGTCCACATTGTCATCCACTCTACCACTTGACGTTCCCCGTTTCAAACACCGTTCTGTACAAACTTCTAAGGGACAATCGAATACAATCACAAATTGTAGATTCACCTTGTTGGCCATAACTTTATTCCAGCCGTCTAAATTATCCTGATTGCGTGGAAAACCATCTATTAAAAAGTTTTGTTTGCCTGACTGTACCATGGCTCGTTCCAGTAAACTGCATGTTATTTCAACAGGTACTATTTTGCCTTCTTTAATGTACGTTTCAATGAGCTCTCCGTATTTCGATCCGGGTTTGGAGCGCTCTTCTCGTAAAAGATCTCCAGCAGAAAGATGCACATAACCAAAATGTTCTACAATCTTTTGGCACTGAGTTCCTTTGCCAGCTCCTGGACCACCCAACACAAATACCACATTGGGAGTCATTTTTAAAACGTGCTTGAGCGCCGTTGAAAATAAACTAATTCCAGCAAACATCGAAAAGTTTTTTAATGTAGCGACGCGGCAGAACTTTGATAAAAATACGACGAGGTCGCATAACCTAACACTTTTTTGTCATGCGTCATAAAATTTAATGAACCCGCATAATTTGTGTAAAAATGATAATTTAAAGATTACTTAGGTTTCAAAACTTATTAAAATGTCTCGGAATTATATCTTTTACTGATAAGAATTAATAACTTTGTGACAATTCAATCTACACAGGGATTTGTTTTTGTTTTTGAAACTGTTAGTGTTGGGCGATGCTTATCGATATTTAAAATATCGATGTTTTGCCGGCGGTATTAAAATACATGAACGAAAAAAAAACGGCGTCAGCGATGGCTATGGAATGAAGATCGCTGTCATTTTGAATGTAAAATTATATGGGGAATCTCATCGATATTCATTTCCAAGCCAACTGAACGCCGTTTTTTTTTATCATACAGTACTAATTACTAATAAATTTTAATTTTAAAACAATAAGATTATTTTGATATGAAAATTGTGTATGTTTTCTACGGTTCAGTTCTAAATAGTGTATCTTAATTGCTGTCCTCCATTCGCGAACTTCAAGTTCCAGTGCTTTACGCCCTGAGCTACTCGAGAACGGTTCTGAAAGGAGCTGTGCGCTATAGCCTGGTGCCTCATATGGCGCGGAACAGTTCTGAACTTTTGGAGTGAGAGTATCGCGTTCTTGAACAGTTCAGATGGAGGACAGCAATTGAAACAAGTTGGTAAGTAAGCGAAATACATAAAATATGTTAACAAATAGTAGAGGTGAGATGGCATTAGAGAGATAAAATGTGGTTTTATCTGATGTTTTCACGTTTATTTTAAACAATCAAGAAAGATGCGTAAGATTAATAAATATTATACTATACTATAGACCATACCCAATAAACTTTTAGTCACATGATTAAGCTTGACTGGCACAGCATTGCCCACTTTTACATATTTTCTTTTAATCAATATTATAAATATACAGGGTGGCGCACCTCATTCGCCTCGGTTGATTATACGAAAACGGAAAGATGTAGAACAAAATATTTTATGGGTATATATGAGGAGACAATGTGCACAATTTAAAATTATTTTGAAATATACAGGGTGTCTCAGAACAGATCCATACCAAAGTTATATTTTTTTCTTATGGAACACCCGGTATTTTATTTCATTTTCGGATTCTTGCGCCCAAAAAAAGGCATTTATTATAAGGGTTTAATATGTTTAAAATCTTTAGTTTTTGAGATATTTAAAGATATGTAAATTTGTATGCTACAATAGAATAGACTATTAACACACTGTACATTACTTTTCAGAATTAATTCTTATGCTGAGTTTAAAGGTAGTGAAATAAACTTTACTGAAAAATGGTATTGGTTCCTTAAATTTATACAGGGCTATCAAAAGTTGCTGATAAAATTTTATATAAAAACTTCGTTATTTCAAATACAACACCCTGTATTTTTTTAAATAAATTAAAGCAGATTCAAATGCTCTTTCAAACTATATTAGGGTTTCCTATACTTATCTAGCTCAGATTTTGAATAAAAAGCGATTTTTAAATAAAATTGCAATCAAGATGGCTGGTGTCGCCATGGCAATTATCTATTGACAGTTAGTAATTATTTTCAAAGTCGACATTAGTTTATGGACATTATTACTTATAATTTATAACAGTTTACTTAAATTTACCTACAATAGTTTAATAAGTAAGTATTCATTATTTTATCAAGAAAAATAAAGCAGTATCTGCTGGCAGAACGAATAGATATGTTACTAGTGATATTATTTTGTGAGGAAAATTGGTTCTTGGCCTCAAGGGCTTATGCTCAAAGATATCCAAATAAAAATAGGCATTTATTCACTGCTAAATAGGCATTTATTCACTGCATAATTTTGTTGATAAGCCTTTCTTTGAAAAACTACTTGTCCTATTTCGCAGAGCTGGTAGTGTGGTTTATAAAAAAGCTATTAGGCAGAAACCTGTCGTTGGAAGGGAAGAAAATGAATTTGCCATAATTGGCTCTTTTATAGAAAATCCATATATCTACAAGTCATCGTAAAATAATTCAAAAAACTACTTTTCTTGATAGAATAATAAATACATATTTAAAAAGTATTATTTATTAAACTATTGTAGATAAATGAAATAAAAGTAAATCGGTATAAATTTAAATAAGTTCATAAACTAATTTTGAAAATAGCTACTAACTGTCACTAGAAACTTGCCATGACGACACCATAGCCATCTTGATTACAATTTTATTGAAAAATCGCATTTTATTCAAAATCTGAGCCAGATAGGTATAGGAAACCCTAAAATAGTTTGAAAGAGTATTTAAATCTGCTTCGATTTATTTAAAAAAATACAGGGTGTTGTATTTGAAATAACAAAGTTTTTATATAAAATAAATCCTTAAAATAGACCAGCAATTTTTGATACCCCTGTATAAATTTAAGGAAGCAAAACCATTTTTCAGCAAAGTTTATTTCTCTACCTTTAAACTCAGCTCAAGAATTAATTCTGAAAAGTAATGCACAGGGTGTTAATAGTATATTCTATTGTAGCATGAAAATTTAAATATCTTTAAATATCTCAAAAATCAAAGATTTTAAACATATTTAACCCTTATAATAAATACCTTTTTTTGGGCCCAAGAATCCAAAAATGAAATAAAACACGCCACTTTTTTTATACACACGATTTTATTTTTGTATGGTGCGCCACCCTGTATAAAGTTATTATTTGCATCAACAAAACTGACCCCCTTAACAGCACTTAAGGGACATAAAGGGCCATTACTATCACTTTCCCCGTTCAAAATATTGTAATAAGTTTGCGATGAGTTTTTTGCAACGGCTATTAAACTACCTTGTACACTTCGCACTAAAAGGGGTTCTAAAAAAACAATGTTCGACTGCAAGGTCCGCTAGCAAAAAAATTTAAGCTTAAAGTATCACAACACAATTCATTTAAACCAAAAACTCGCAATAAAAAAAAAACTAAAGTGTCAAAACGGATGACAATGTCAAAAAATAAATAAATGTGGCAACTTGACATTTTTTACAGCAGAGCTACCACTTGGATCCCCAGCGGGAAATTTAAATTCCAGCCATCTTTAACGCCGTTTTTTTTCTTTTTTCCTTCGATTACATATTATAATAAAAATTCTTCCTTCTTAACTTCTTCACATATTTTAGTATAAAAATACAATACAATGAACAAGAAAATATCTTTAACGTAATTTAATAAAGAAATAGAAGTTATTATTTTACATTTTTCCATTCCATACAATAGTATATTAAACAACGAGTTTCGAAAACGACGTTTTGCACATGAGTTCGACAGTTTGTTGGCTCGAGTCGCAGGCAAGAGCCACAAGTCGAACGAGTGTACAAAGACGTTTTCGAACAAGTTTTTTACGCTATTTTTTTTACGACTACAAATTACCAGCAGACTCAGTTTTTGCCAGTTTTGTGAAATAATTTGCGATGTAATGATGACACTTTTCTGACGGCTGCGTTGCGTTTGGCGTTTCAGCTAAACATTGGAGGTTAAAAATGTTAAAATTGGCACATGTCGTGTGCAAAATGACACATGTCGTGCGCTAAATAATTAGATTAGCACACAACAGTTTGCAAAACGCCAATTTCAGTTCGAGTTTTCCGTGTGTCAAACTGCATGTTCTAGGCTAGTCGGTAGAAAAATATTATTGCGATCCTGCTCATTGGAAGATTCGCTGATCCATAAGCGTGACCTTAGTTATTTTTATTCTAACTATAAAATATATCAAATTATATCGTGCGGCACTGTCTAACGTCGAGGAAGCGTTCACCAGCAAAAGCATTTTGTTTAATATATTATTACCTTACTATTATTACTTATTGCTATAGTTTACTATACCTTATTATAGTAAACTATACCATAGCAATATACACACATATTTAATAAATTTAAAATTAGTTGTAGGACGTATTATACCATACTACACCATAATAAGATCGCCGTCTTTTATACTGAAAATGTTTATGTAAAATTATGGGAAATGTCATTTATCGTCATTTCCCATATAATTTTACATATAAAGTAAACTGGATGTCATTTTTTCAATCATAATATGATTATTAGTGTTTTAAAAATATTACTATTGTCAAGAAAAATGGCGTATCCGCCAGAAATTAAAAATGTATTACTGGTTGCCTGCACAACCGCAACGTATCCGCCAGAAATTAAAAGACTTTTTCAGGCGCCATCTTTTAGTCAAGTCGAGAAGTAAGGGAATCAGACAATGGAATTGTCTGGTATGAAGAAGTACGCTTTCCGAGAATTGGGAAATTTCGAGAAGCAGTCAATAGAGTATATAAGCCGGAGCCATCGACAACTGAGACAGTTTTTGAAATTTGAATATACCGCGTGGAAATTGAAAATCGGACAATTTGGTGAAGGAATCTTATAAATAGTTAGTTTGTTGTGTGTTATAAGTTAGTAATTGTGTATAAAGTGAGAAAATAAATTCGTTAAGTATTTTATCGTGAGTTTAAATAGTGGACCCACGGAATCCGTAACAATTGGTGTCGGAAGTGCGATTTAAGTGGATTTTGAAGATTTTACACCGAATTTGGGAATTTTTATGGTTGGTACGAGACAGCAAGCGAAGAAAATGGAAGAAGTAAGCAAATTATTGGGAGATTTTATGGAGAAATTAGAGAGAGAAAAGGAAGAGGAAAAATTACGACGTCAAGAAGAACAGGACCGGCTTGAGAAAATGTTGGGTAATTTGAAAATTCGTTTCGAGGAGCGACATCGTAGAGAAAAACAAGAAGAACAGGACCGGCTTGAGAAAATTTTAGATGATTTAAAAATTCAGCGACAACAAGACAAACAAGAAGAGCAGGACCGTATTCAACAGAGTATCGAAAATTCGGAACGAAGACAAGAGACCCACTTCCAAGAAGTCGTAGAAGATCTGGAGGAGCGCCTTCAGCAGAAAATGGAAAAATTAGAGATGGACCTACAGAAGACCAAGGTACAAGTAAGGACACCTGGCGTTTCTGGAACTGCGAACCTCAAGGCACCGACCTACGATGGACAAACGACCTGGACAATGTACCACCGTCAGTTTGAAGCAGCCGCCGCTGCCAACGGATGGACTGACCAGGAGAAAGCAGCGGCACTTGTCATCGCGCTGCGTGGCCCTGCCCTGGAACTCCTGCAAACTATTCCTGCAGCCCAACAGCAGGAATACCAAACTTTGGTCGCTGCACTGGACAGAAGATATGGCGACCAACATCGACGCCAACTTTACCAGGCACAGATCAAGACACGCCTGCAGAGGTCCGGAGAGAGTCTGCAGGAATTCGAAGCAGACTTACGTCGCCTGGTACACCTAGCGTATCCAGAAGCACCGGAAGGATTTAGGGAAGAACTGGCTGCTCAGTGCTTTATCAGCGGACTGAGGGACAACGAATTACAGAGGGCGCTGCAAATATCCCGATTTTCTACCAGCAGCGAAGCATTGGTCAGGGCGCTGGAAATCGAAGCTGCTTTTAGCGCCATCCCTAGACCGAAGATAAGATCAGTAACGGTCGAGGAACAGCCCGAAAGCACTCACAGAGGTTTGGAGGAGATGTGTAAGAAAGTCGACAAACTATGTGAGCTACTAATAAACAAGGGAGTCAACAACACCCAGACAGAGAACCAGAGAAGATCACAGGACATAAGGTGCTTTAGATGTGGCAGGAATGGCCACATTAAACGGGATTGCCGCGTTCAAATGCGATCCCGTTCACCATCCAGAGAACGTAGGCACCAGGAAAACTAAAATCAGTCAATACTAAGGGGCAAGTATTGACTGGGGAGAACAGAGCCCCAGGAGGATTTTCCATTAGAAGTCTAGGAAGAACCGCTGACAGTTTGGTGATCGACGGGAAAGTCAATGGAAAGGGAATCCGAATGACAGTGGACACTGGCGCTATGGTATCGTTGGTGCGAGCTAACTCAGTGCAAGGATTGAAGCTGATGCCTCTGAGAAGAAGAGTGTGTTTACGTACAGTTACGGGGGAAATGGCCGTTGTACGGGGAGAGGCTATCGTCGAACTGAAGTTAGGAAATTTGAAGTTCCAGCATAGTGTTTTAGTGGCAGATATTGAAGATGACTTCATCTTGGGCATGGATGTGATTCGTCAACATGGATTTTCGTTCGATCACCAGAGAAATATCCTGAATATCGGAAACGAAGAGTTTATGTTATCTCCAGACGAGGGACCAGGAAGAATGGATGTAAGATCAGCGGAAACTGTGGTGATACCTGGTAATACCGAGAAGATCGTATTCGGTAAAGTGGAGAAAATCGCTGGGTGCTGTGTTGGACTGGTACAAAGTAGCGACAACAAACAAGATAGGTACTTAGTAGGAAAGTCATTGGTGAACACTGACAAGAATATACCGATCAAATTGCGAATGTTTTCCCGAATTGTGTCAAGATTCAAAAAGGTGACAAGATAGCCATCTGCGAACCTGTAAGAAGTGTCACCCGATGTGATGAAGTATCGTCAGCTGTTACACAAAAGGCATCCCAAGAAACACTAAAACATCTAGAACAGCCATGGGATCACCTAACACCTGAGGAGAAACAGAAGGCCAAGCAGTTCCTGCTTAAGCATGGCAGTATTTTTGAGAAGAACAACAGTGGAAGAACGGATTTTGTGAAGCACCGGATTAATACTGGTCATGCTCAGCCAATTCGACAACGTCCTAGAAGGGTGCCCCTTTCAAAACAACAAGAAATGGAGACAATGGTAGATAAGATGCTAGAAGATGGAGTTATCGAAGAATCATCGAGTCCATGGTCATCTCCTGTTGTTTTGGTGACGAAGAAAGATGGTAGTACACGATTCTGCGTGGACTATCGGAAGCTCAATGACGTCACTAAGAAGGACAGCTACCCACTGCCACGTATAGACGACACGTTAACCACACTGGCAGGTTCGTGCTGGTTCTCCACTCTCGACTTAAAGAGTGGATACTGGCAAGTTGGTCTGGACGAGGACGATAAAGAAAAGACGGATTTTTCTACAGGAAACGGACTATATCAATTCAAGGTCATGCCGTTTGGATTATGCAATGCTCCAGCCACTTTCGAACGTCTCATGGAGGTGGTGTTAAGAGGATTAACTTGGAAAACGTGCTTGGTTTACCTCGACGATGTATTGGTTATGGGAAGAACTTTTGAAGAGCATTTGCGAAATTTAGAAGATGTCTTCGGCCGCATACGGAATGCTCACCTGTACTTGAACCCGAAGAAGTGTAGTTTATTCCAGCGACAAGTGGAATTCTTGGGTCATGTAGTCTCAGCAGACGGAATTTACACCGACCAGAAGAAAATCGCTGCAATCAAGGATTGGCCTAAACCTCGCGACAAACATGAACTTAGAAGTTTTCTGGGTTTATGCACATATTACAGAAGATTTGTCAAGGGATTTGCCAACATAGCTGCACCTTTACATAAACTTACAGGTGATGAAGTCGGCTACGAATGGAACACCGATTGTGATGTAGCCTTTGAAAGACTTAAAGCGGCTTTATGTTCAAGTCCTATTTTAGCCTACCCACAACAACAAGGAAGGTATATCCTGGATACCGACGCCAGCAACATCGGCATCGGTGCAGTGCTATCACAAGTGCAAGATGGCGAAGAACGAGTGATAGAATATTACAGTCGAGTTCTATCCAAACCAGAAAGGAATTACTGCGTTACCCGGAAGGAGCTGCTAGCAATTGTAAAGGCAGTTGATCATTTTCATAAATACCTGTATGGCCAAGAATTTTTAATTAGGACAGATCATGCGGCTCTCAAATGGCTTATGGAGATGAAACAACCTGAAGGTCAAATAGCACGATGGCTCGAGAAGCTCCAGCAGTATCACTTTACCATCCAACATCGTGCTGGAAAGATGCATGGTAACGCAGACGGTTTATCCAGAAGACCCTGTCAAATCGATTGTAAGCACTGCAGTAAAACGGAACAACGTGAAATTACTGTCATGATAAGGAGTTTTAAGCTTGGAACCGATGAACAGTGGACGACGACACAATTGAGGAACGACCAAATGGAAGATCCAGACATCGGAGCAATACTACGGCTCAAGGAAGGTAACGGCGAGAGACCACCGTGGCAGGATATTGCAAACAGAGGGCTCGTTTTCAAAGCTCTCTGGGCTCAGTGGAATTCACTGGTGATTGAGAATGGATTGTTAAAGCGCACGTGGGAAAGTGCGGATGGCAGGACAGTAACAACTCAGTTACTGGTACCAAGGAAGAAAGTTATCCAGGTATTGGAAGAAATTCATGGTGGTAGAACTGGAGCCCATCTTGGAGTAAACAAGACCTTGAGCAAGCTGAGAGATCGTTTTTACTGGGTGGATTATTGTGAAGATGTTAAGAAATGGTGTCAACGTTGTAAGATTTGCGCAGCTAGACAAGGACCAAGTACTCGATCTGGAGGAAAAATGGAACAAGATAACGTTGGACTGTCGTTCGAAAGAATCGTTAGGAAGGAAAGATTATTGGGAATTCATAAGGCCGTGAGAAGTAAGATTATGCTAGCCAGTGACCGGATGAAAGCTCGTTACGACCTCAGAGCTAATTCTACGGGATTTCGACAGGACGATAGGGTATGGTTGTATAACCCACAGCGCAAGAAAGGAAGGTCCCCAAAGTTAACTCCAGCATGGGAAGGTCCTTATACAGTCATCAAGAGGGTAAATGATGTTGTGTACCGGATTCAACGCAGCCCTAGAAGTAAGATGAAAGTAGTTCATCTGGATCGATTGAAGAGATACCAGACAGGAAACCTTGATCGGGACGATCAAATTTGAGAAGGGGGCAATGTCAAGAAAAATGGCGTATCCGCCAGAAATTAAAAATGTATTACTGGTTGCCTGCACAACCGCAACGTATCCGCCAGAAATTAAAAGACTTTTTCAGGCGCCATCTTTTAGTCAAGTCGAGAAGTAAGGGAATCAGACAATGGAATTGTCTGGTATGAAGAAGTACGCTTTCCGAGAATTGGGGAAATTTCGAGAAGCAGTCAATAGAGTATATAAGCCGGAGCCATCGACAACTGAGACAGTTTTTGAAATTTGAATATACCGCGTGGAAATTGAAAATCGGACCATTTGGTGAAGGAATCTTATAAATAGTTAGTTTGTTGTGTGTTATAAGTTAGTAATTGTGTATAAAGTGAGAAAATAAATTCGTTAAGTATTTTATCGTGAGTTTAAATAGTGGACCCACGGAATCCGTAACATATTATACCATACTACACCATAATAAGATCGCCGTCTTTTATACTGAAAATGTTTATGTAAAATTATGGGAAATGTCATTTATCGTCATTTCCCATATAATTTTACATATAAAGTAAACTGGATGTCATTTTTTCAATCATAATATGATTATTAGTGTTTTAAAAATATTACTATTATAAACCAAACCAAACCGATGGTCAATATCGATATTGCGCGTCGATGTCCCATCACTAACACAGATCACTGTCAAATATTAATATGACAGGGATGTATTCAGAATAATTTTATTTTTTATTTTAGTTTTTTAATTTGAAATATTGGTGACAAAAAACATAATTAAATTAGATGTTAGTGTAATAAATAGAACAAAATTACTTTAGACCTCTTACCTTCATAAGCTTCTTCTGGACATACACATACGTCCAAATATACTTGTTCAAAAGTTCCTACCAGCTCAATTTTATTTACATAAAGATTTGTTAAAGGCCTCATCATTCTTGATGGACCGGTAAACATGAAGATACCCGAATATTGAGAACAATATTTTTTATATGGCACTAAAACAATTTCTAAAGTATTTGGTACCTCTTTGTTTTCTATCTTCAACAGCCTTAATTTGTTAACTACTTTGGGAGCAATATTTCTTGATAAATACCCTAAAAATAAATTTTAGTAATTTCAAAATGTAAAACATTATGAAAAATCACCTATTATTCTTCCATCTAACTGTACTGCATAACTTGTAGCTATCTCTTGACTATTAATATAATTCATGGGAACCATTCCATATTCGGAGAGAATAATTGAGATATTTCGGACTTTAGTTTGATCTGGAGCCTCTGTAATAATACATTTCATAGTTAAATGATTTAGTAATCCACAAGGAGACCCATCAGGTGTGTGAACAGGACAAATAAATCCCCAGGCATCAGGAAGAAGCTGTCTAGCTTCAGTTGTACGCATTTCTTGGAAAAAAGAACCTCTGTGAAAGGATTATAATTAGATATATTTTACTTAATTAAAGAATAAATAATAGAGTTATGTTAATTTAATAATATTCCTGTAGACACTTCATCACAAATATCCATAAGAAAAAATTATTGATCAAATTTAGTCAAAATATTTTCAATGGAGAGATACAAAAAATATTTTTTTTTAGTTTAACATTATGTACAGGGTGGTCGAAATTGGTCTGTTTTAACAGAGAAACTCTATTTCCTGACTAGATAGAGCAAAACCGACATAGATGTCCAAAATATTTTCAATGGAGAGATACAAAAAATATTTTTTTTTAGTTTAACATTATGTACAGGGTGGTCGAAATTGGTCTGTTTTAACAGAGAAACTCTATTTCCTGACTAGATAGAGCAAAACCGACATAGATGTCATGGGCTCGATTTCTGAGACATGTTTAATGGCGTATACCGCCTGTTGATATTTTCACTGCCCACTGAGATACGGGGTCTTTTTGAATTTTTTACCATTTTGAAAATTATCCATAACTTTTTTATTTCGCGGAATAATAGAATTTTGTAAAAACGTCCTTAAGGGACTTTTTTAAGCACAATCCAGTGGCGTAGTTAATTTTTTTCTATGTTTGCTCTTTTTGTAATAAAAAATATAATTTTTTAAATGGAAATCATAGTTGGCTATGAACTTAAAAAAATGATGACATTTAACCCTTTCCAACGATGTAAAGTTATGAGTATCTATTTCTAAGAATGAAAGAAATATTAGGTTTTCTACATTATATATATATAATATATCTTTATATCGAAGCGGGCCTTGATTTTGTGTTGGCCTATTTGCCTAGTTATTTTTATCACAATTTATATTCTATATTATTATTTATCTGCATAATTAAAGACTCTTGAAAAGGTAAATTAACATTCTATATTAGCATTAGTAATTACAATTGAAATCGATACAATAAACAATGAACTAAACTAAAAAATGTATGTTTTGAGTGACGAATATAGTTTTCTAAAAAAACATCAAAGATGTTCAAACAGCACCTCCTTTTTGAATACACAATAAGCATCCTTTGCGCACATAGCTACAGCGATTTATTAGACGAACTGGTGGTGTAACAAGTTCAAAAGCTTGCTTAGTAGCCTTCTGCAATTCTTCTCTCTTCCCAATGGTTCTTCCCTTATATATAAGGTCTTTTAATTTCCCCCATCAAAATAGCGAAAGGGGTTAAATTACAGGACCTAGCAGGCCAAGATATGGCGTCCCTTTTTCCAATCCAATTCTCTCCAAATTCTCCATTTAATAGTTCAGTTATAACCCTGGCGTTTTAATTATTATTGGTTATACTAATATAGAATGTTGATTTACCTTTTCAAAAGTCTTTAATTATGCAGATAAATAAGAATATAGAATATTAAATTGTGACAAAAAATAATTAGGCAACTAGGTCAACACAAAATCAGGGCCCACTTCCATACAAAGATAAAAAACCTAATATTTATCTCATTCTTAGAAATAAATACACATAACTTTATATCGTTGAAAAGGGTTAAACGTCAGCATTTTTTAACTCCATAGCCAACTATGATTTCCATTTAAAAAATTATATTTTTTATCATTTCTGACAAAAAGAGCCAGTATAGAAAAAAACTGACTACGCCACTGAATTGTGCTTAAAAAAGTGCCTTAAGAACGTTTTTACAGAATGTGATTCCGCGAAATACAAAAGTTATGGGCAATTTTCCAAATGGTAAAAAATTCAAAAAGTCCCCGTATCTCAGTTGGCAGTGAAAATATCAACAGGCAGTTTACGCCATTAAACATGTCTCTGAAATCGAGCCCATGACATCTATGTCGATTTTGTTCTATCTAGTCAGGAAATAAGTTTTCTCTGTTAAAACAGACCAATTTCGACCACCCTGTACATTAAAAATAGTGTGCTGAGTTAAAAAAAAAACACATGAAACTGTATATACCTGTGCACTGCTCGAAAATGTGACATATATCGCATTCTATTAATATTTTCAGCAACTATGCACAAGCCTTTATCTTGCATAAGTCCTAATCCTGAGTTACTATGTATATTTCCTGTTGCCAAAAACAATCTCAAAATATTCTCCAAACCACCAGTTCTCTTAGCTGCTTGTAACATATCAGATTGAGAAAATTTGAATTTTGTTCCCCCTGCCAAAACTTCAAAACTTCTTCTTAACTGATGTAGCCATGTTGCTAACTTCTCCTTGATTATTTGTAAATATAAATGACCTCCTGTAATTATAAAATGAAAATAAAAAATTATCAAAATTGGGTATTATACAATACTTACCTTGTAGCACTTCTTGCATCATAACAGAATCTACTCCTTCAACTTTACATTTGTTCTGAGCAAATTTGAATAATTTTTGTGTCATAAATGCCAGCAAATTAACCTTATCCTCATTAGAATTTAAATGAATTAAAATACACTTTTTTAACATAACATCTGCAACTTCAATATCTGTATACCAAGAAGGGCATTCATAAAATCTGACTCTAAACATCTTTCCAAGATATGCTTTGCATTCGTCATGCGAATGGAGTCCTTCTGTGTGTAATAGTCTTAGCATATTTTGACAGCAACTAAAGAATGTCTATTTATGAATATGAAACTGTTTAAAACGATTTAACTTACTCAATATAGTATAAATCATCCTCAAACCCTTTAATTAATTTCTGATAAAAATATTGATCTGTAAAATCACACAGACACTTTAAAATGAGACATAATGGAACATAATATAACATTTTATTATAACTAAACATTAATTTTGCAGTTCCGTCTGTTACAAAATGAAGGACATTACTCTAGAAATGGTTACAAATAATTATATCTCTATATTAAAACTTAGATAAAATAACTTACTGTAGCTGTTTCATCTTCCATAACACTTCTAATAGAAATGCCTACATCTGAAAATAATGCCCCTCTACCTTTCCAGCCTGATCTTTTAATGGCAACTGGATAATTCCTTCTAGTCATTAAAAGCATTCTAATTATTTTTTCTAAGCCACTGACCACAAAATAGCCACCCCATTCTTGCTCATGTTCTCCACGATGAACAAGATTTTTAGGATCAAGTTTTTCCAAATTGCACCTGTTAGACTACAATAAATATATAAACTATTCAAAACAATTATTGCATATATTTAAAAAATATATAATAATTTGAGAAACAAGACACCTTGAATTATCTGAATTATGTTTTTAAATATTTTTCTATTTCTATTTTAGACCCTTCATATTTATGTAAAAAAATCTCTGCCCACCTTTATCATTATTGGAATATTTCCCATATCTCTTGTAAATGGTTGTTGTAACTGACCGTTAATATACCAGTCAACATCAATTAAAAATTTTCCACCATATGTCGAATTTCTCTGTCTACATTCTGTAGGATATATTAAATTGTTTTTAACACCTATTGTTCCGTAAGGCACTTGAGGAGGAGCTAGGCTAAAATTGGTTATAACTAACTTAATTTTTCGGTCATTCACCATAAACTCAACCGGGGCTATATTTTCTATAGCTTTGTTCAATCCTTCGTTAACCATATAGTTGAAACTATCAATATGGGGCCTTCCTATGGACTGTAACAACTAAAAGTAACCTAAGTTTAGCACGTGTAAAAAAGAGTATTTTAATAGAATTTAATTAAATACCTCATTTTGAAATTTTGGGGGTATCCCAAAATTTGGATCTGTAATATTTTTTAACGTGGGATCTTTCATTGTTTTAAAATTAAAAGGATTGTTTTCATACGATTTGAATGTAAAACAGTGAGGTTATGTTTTTTTCAGGGTCGAAGGCATGTCGAAGGTCGACCAATGCCGTCTCTAATAGAACAGCCTTAGGGCGAGATTTATGACGTCACGCTAGTTAGATACTACGGATTAATAAATATGTTGTAGAATACATGGAAAACACAATTATTCCTCAGATTTTTGGTTTGTATTTTAAAAATGATATAGTTTACATGAAAAATACATAATATACAGTTAATAACGACAACATATATACCTATTTATATTAATAAATACTTTGGCAAATAAACTATGAACCATACAAATGCAGCCAATGTTTTACAATATACAAATAATGTATTACATAAGATATTGGGTAAAATGTAAATATATTTTAAATTTTGGGGTTTGAAAATCGATCTAATTTAACAAAAAACATTCAATATCTACTAATAGTGATGTATTATTATTTGCATTCACAAAATTTATATGTATATTTTGCAAGTATCAATGTTCGAAAAATTATATTTACAAATAATACAATATCATCTAAAAAAGGCGTCAGCGATGGCTATGAAATGAAGATCGCTGGCATTTTATATGTAAAATTATTCTAAAATTTTTGATTTTCTTGGGATTTTTAGGTTCGGGAAAAACGCTGATTTAAGTTTTCATTTAGGTTTTCATTATTTTTATTTGGTTTAAAAAAAACGTTTCGGCTAACTATAGCCTTCATCAGTGTTGTGTCATATGTAAAAAATAGTGTCGAATATAATTCAAAAAATTACATATAAAATATTCACACCACATAATGTTTACTGCAATTAATAAACTAATATAAACTTATCAAAAGATGACCACATATTTTTTAGAATTATTATTCTTAACACTAAAACTATCTACATTGACTATGGAGTACGCAGTAAACATTATGTGGTGCGTGGTGTGAATATTTTATATGTAATTTTTTGGATTATATTCGACACTATTTTTTTCATATGACACAACACTGATGAAGGCTATAATGTTAGCCAAAACGTTTTTTTTTAAACCAAATAAAAATAATGAAAAACCAAATGAAAACTTAATCAGCGTTTTTCCCGAACCTAAATCCCAAGAAAATCAAAAAATTTAGAATATTTAGAAACAAAGGTTCAAGAATATCAAATTTTCCAAGATTGTAAAATTCTAGTTAATTATTTTATGTGTACAATTATTTAGGGAATGTCATCGATGTTCATTTCCAAGCCAATTAGACGCCGTTTTTTTCCATGATACGGTATAATTCTTACATAAAATGTAAATAACATTCGACCAATTAAAACAAAGAAATATGAATTTCATAGTATTTTTAGTAACACCTTTATTCTTAAAACTTAATTTTGTATTGCAAATATACCAATTTTATTCATATTGTATTCAGCCATCACTTAAATATTTGATATTAATTTGGTATTATAAATAATCAACACTATTCAGTAAAAATTACTGAACAAATATATGTTATGCTTTACATACATTATATTATCAAACAAAAACACATTCTTCTTTTAAACTATATCATTCTTGTCTTTACAAAAATCTTTTTTAATTTTGAACTCAAAATAATAATCTTTTTCATGATCTTTAATACACATATTCTTTATTTTTCCCTAGATCATAATACCTACTTACGTGTTTAGCTTACGTGTTTGAATCTATCGAAGCTGAACCAACAACACTTGGAGTGGAGATTCCACAATATGAATAAAATAAACATAATTGTCCAGTTTTCTTTAATACCATCCTGGGAGAATATTATTTTTAAATTTATTAAAGATATTTTCAATAGAATTGTCTTGATTTATTACTCGTACCCCACTTTTCTTGCTCTTCCGGATACTTTAAGCTGCGTAGTATAACTATCCTTTCCACCAGGAACACAACAAAGATGAAGCACAGCACCAAAAACACACTCCACTTAAGCTTTATTGATGAATTGTTAGAGTCTTAAAAAACACACACAAAAATCACGATAAATAAAAAATTTATGGGCACTTTTAGGTTCAAGCACTTAATAAAACGTGTAATGTTTCGTGTTTTTTTATGAGAAACAGAGTGACCATCATAGTGACCATATATCTGGTAGTACTTTATGTCACTTAAACACCAAAATAATGAGTTTTCTGCACTACAATAACAAATAATACCAAAAATCAACCAACAAAATATGAATACAGAATCTAACCCAATATCTAAGTATGTACAGCTGATGAAGTAAACAAAAGTCCGCCCGTGGGCTGATCTTTTATAGAGGGCATTGGGTCGACCTTTCATTTTCAGTTCTTTCAGTTTTCATAAACACAGAATAGGCAACTAGTTATACACCACTGAAAAAATTACCTCATTTCAATTCAAATAGGTAAAAACTCTTAATGTAATTCTATTTATTATTTATTATTATTATTTATGAAACAAATTAGAATGCTATTGGTAAAATAATATATTTTCTTTTAGAATAATAAACAAACTTATCTCTAATACTGCGCAAAATCTACCAATTTCTTAAAATCAATAACGCTATAAACAACAGCCGACTATTCCTATCAATTCGTATTAAATAATGAAAAAACATATGTCGCTTAGATATTTTTTATCACATAGAACAAAAAGTACAAAATGTATGTTTATAATATATAAATATAATAATTTTGTTTAAATTTACATACATAAACATAAACACTTTAGTTATAAACAACTTTTATAGTTTCTAGTTAGGTAATTAAAACGCATATTCATATTATTAGTAAGTATTTCTTTAGCATTGTAAGTATTTAGTATTATATTTTTTCATTAGTCAGTATTTCTTTAGCATACTTATAATATTTAATTTGAATGAAACTTTTAAGAAAAATGAGCGCATCTCTAAGCCCAGGATATTCTGATAGTCCATCCGAATCTTTTAAATATACAGCTTTACAATTTGCTGTAAGAAGAAAATCTATAGAGCAAGTGAGGTAAGATTAAATATATAATTAAAGAATTAATTAGAGAATTTTTACTAAGTACATTTAAGTATTCCTACAGGCCACATGTATTCCATATTCCATATTTTAAATTTCTCATTTATTTAACTTAATTGCGAATGCCCAAAGATATATTATTTTCTTTAGGTATTTAATTGAAAGTGGAACCGAATTGGATACAGGACCGGATCCAGCTCTTCATTTAGCCATTAGAAAGAAAAACACGGATATAGCTATATTACTTTTGGAAGCTGGAGCAAATTTTGAAATAACAGACTCGGTATTTAAAATCTAAAAGTTAATAGAGCAACAATGATATTGTCTGATATTATTTACAGCATGGTGACTTACCAATTCATATAGCTTGTGCTTTTGGATTGCCTGAAGTGGTTAAAGTTTTATGTGCTCTGGGATGCAGCGTTGAAGTGCCAACAGTAAAAGGAATGTATCCTCTACATTTAGCTGCAAAATATGGCCACATTGCGGTTGTCAGGTATAATTTATACACAATTATAACGGCCTAAAGCAAATAAATAATAATATTTATTAATCTAATACGTTTAGATGCTTGTGCGCTGCCGGTTGTAACACAGAGGTACGAAAAGCTGACAATATAAGATCTGATATAACGGCTTTGAAGTATGGGCATTACGACATTGCAGAACTATTGGATCGTCTAAGAGCAACAGGTGTGTGTGTATGTGTAGAAATAATATATTTTTTACTACATAACTATTTTTTTTTGTAATAATAACCGTTCTAATTGAGATTAGCAATAAAATAATACAGGATCCTATAACAGTACGTCAGGCCTATAGAATGCCTTCTATATTAATGAACTTAGTTAATATTGTAAATACTCGATATTCCCGGTATAATACCAGGAATATACGTGGAATCAGTATATCGGGAATACATCTACACCATATGGGTATATACCCTAGACGATGTAGGGTATATTTTGGGTCAAGTTTCGTTTAAAAATGTTTTGTCATTTAGGTACCTCAGGGAGTATATTACTGAAAAAATTTTGCCGCGAAAATACGTCACCATTTTTTGAATGCGGTTTAAAAGTAACGAAATGACATACATGAAAAATTAATGTTATTTCATATTTTATAGACGTCTTTGTAAATACTAATACGAAAATGAAATGCCGCGGAAATGCGCTGTTGCCATTTTTTTGAATACGGTTTAGAAGTAACGAAATGAGATATATAAAAAAGTGATATTATTTTATATTGTAGATTTATTTTTAAGTACCGATACAAAAATGAAAATCCGCGGGAATGCCTTGTTTCACCACTATGCGGTGATCTTCTTCCCAACCTTTGACACAGATCAATGAATAATATCCAATATTCTTATCAACTTAATATCGCTATGGTCAATAAATGCGAAAATTTAAAAAAAAATTCACAGTCCTTTACAAAGATGCAACCGGGTGTGCATTGAAAATGATGAATAAAAACGTAAAAATATGATTAGTGTTAATATGAGTGTATTACATACATATGTTTAAATAACGAACTTAACAAAAAACAACAGATTTAAAGATTCACTGAAAAAGTAGTAATGTTAAAATTAAATAAAACATTATCAATAATAATTATGCGATCGCACCTATCCGTAAAACAAGCAAGCAATAAAAAGAATTCTTACGGAAAGTTACACTTTACGATATAATTTTTTAACTGTTAAAGGCAAACCCCATTTTTAAACACAAAACTTTTTAATACCTACTACTGTATCTAAAAGACTTTTTTTTAAATTACTAAATTCTTAGCCACGCTTCTGTTTTTCTTGGCTGTTGTGCGTCACGTCACAGATTAACAGGCGACCACAAGGCGATGCTGCAGACCACTAGGTAGACCGGTCGTAGAAATTTATGTTATACAACTTGTAGTCAATCTACACAAATATTATCAAAACCTTTTTTTCTTTTAAAATGTGTTCAGATTTTGTAAAAAGTATAAGTCAAAATCCCAAAACTTAAATTTGATATGAGTTTCTTAGTTTTTAACTAATATAGTGGCGAATTACAAAAAATTCCTTTTCAATGAAAATTAATGAGTTAAATAAAATAATTTAATAAATTACTAGCTTTTTCTCGCGACTACGTTCGCGTTACACCTCGAATCGTTTATGCATTGATTTAAATGATTTTTACTTCTTTATAGAGAGAGCTAGTGAGCATAGATGTTTTTATTTTTCATCTTTTTTTTTATTTATTAAGAGCTCTAATACTCTCTTTATAGGTTATTTTTTATTCTTTGAAGGATAATTGAGGAAGATATATTTCGTTATGATGTCACTAAATAAACCCTTGTATAAAATTTTATACTGTCTGGTTTATAATGTTATAATATTGCATTTTCGTACAGGAAACTTTCATTTCCTATTCTACTCCCTAAGGGTATAAATTTCATAAATTCGCTTTACCTTTGTGCCAATTTTTATTTGTATAATCCAGAGGTCGCCAAGTTTTATATAAATTTTTACTAACTTTACCCATTTGGTTGATGAATTTCAAAAATTTCTTCTAATTCTTTTTGTAGGATTTCATTCTTCTAGACCAAATAGTAAGGAATTTTCATACAACAAACTGTTCCGAGATAATTTTACTCTCTAAGAGGATGAATTTCCTAAAATCGCTTTGTGTAGCTAATTCACTAATGTCGTTTAAACGAACCTTTGTGCTAATATTTATGTATGTAAAGCTGGCGGCATGAACTCACTCTAAAATATCTAAAAACGTAATATATAATCTAACTGACACACCACTGACAATGACAAATAATTTATTTCTGGAGGTATTGTGTGTAGGTGTTTTTCAGGTATGTTTTAGTATTTAGTCGTTTTACACAAAGAAATAGCCATTAAGCACTATAAAAGTACTTCGTAACAAATCTACAATATACCTTTCATTTAAAAAAAGAATCATCAAGATTGGTAGAGCGGTTTCGGCGGGATGGACGCAACAAAAAAACCCTTTGAGCTTTTATATATGTATGGATTAATTATTTTTCCAACATATTTTACTTTGCAAATTTTTATAAATATTCAGACTCGCCAATATCGTACTCCACCGTGTCCAACCTGTTTAGCCAAACGTAGGCCGATTCCTCTTCGGTGGCGTCGTGACCCTCGCCGAAGGAAGAGTCTTGAAGACGCTCATCCGCGCATAGGAATAAGTTGACTGCGTAGCGTATTGCGTATTAATCGATTCTGAAACTTTCTATCTCGTGTATAACATGTTACGCAAGTTTATTATTTAATCTCGATTTTAATAGATAAATATGTGAAATGCCACCTGAATATCTTCCGCCATGATTTTTGTTATGGTAAAGTGATTTGTATAAACTTTATTCAATAACGTATATTTTCCTCCATTTGGTGATTTTTTAATTTTAAGCGAAAATTAAGTATAACATTTTAGGAAAAAGAAACACTGTAATATTTAAAAGAATAAGGAGAAATTACTCTTATTTTGAAAGAAAATTATTGAAAAAACTCTTTCTATAGAAAAAGTCTTTATACTAACCAGAATCCGGTGACATATACGCGGTCTCACCGGAAACATTACTTATTACTTCGCATAACTTGAAGAATATCTACTTTTAATAATGAACACTTCAGAAATACACCAGTAAAAACATTTATTATTTGAGATTAAAACTCTAATTAAATTATAAACAGTAGTTACCTATGTTGTTATAGCTTTTATAGGCCTGTTTAACGACTTAATAAGTTACCTAGCGAAAAAATCTGTGCGCGTACCTACCACTATTGTTACAGGTTAATTCGTTAAAGAAATATGTTACACAAGTTAAAAACGCTAAAATTTTAATGGTATTACTTGTGCATTATTGGCCTTATAATGTAATTTGTTGGAATTATATCTTCTTTAAATATAATTAGACTTTTTAACGACTTTTAAGTTACCTAGGAAAAAATCTGTGCACGTACCTATCAGTATTGTTACTAGTAGTGGGAAGTATCGAATGAATACTATCGAAACATTCGATAGTTGCAATTCATTCGAATAATTCGATAGTTAGTAAGAAAACATTCGTTGAAAACTATTCGAATAAAAATTATCGAATAGATCCGTCATCTGCCTTGAAATATTGTATTCTAGTAATTCGGCAGCAAAAACCATTCATTTATAAAATTCATTCATTTATGAAATTCATTTATTCGTCAGGATCGATTATAATAAAATATTAACTGAATTTTAGTTGTCGCCCGGCGACGTAGGTTTCTTTCCGAGAAACCCGACAGCGGTCGGTGGCAATGCTATGAAAGAAGCCGGCATCTTTGATTTTTGCGGAGTCAGATATAGATAAGGACACATTATTTTTTTTATTGAGGTGCTAGTATTTACACAGAAAATACATTATGAAGGGCGCTGTTGCCATATTTTGGTATTAGTTGATATTAGCAAAGAATATTATTGTTTGGCTTTAGTTAGTTAGGGATAGTAGGGTAGGTGGGGGTAAAGCCCTGCACGGGGCAAAGCCAAGCACCGCGTTTTGAAATAGCGCGGGAATCATTTCGGGTTCGCCCGTCAGGCGCGAGTTGGTTTTAATAACGTTCAGTGCGACAGAGAATTTGATGGTAGCCGGCAGCTTGTGTACCGAGAAAATGAGGTTAGTTCATCTTTTGTCATTTTAATATAATAACTACGTCACTTTGTTCAAATATAGTGTGCATGTATTTAGAATATCTGGAAAAGGCGACTTCTCGGTTGATAGCATGTCACCTAAGCTTTATTTTCGCGTGGTAATGTTTTCTTGAACTTGATTTTAAAAATGTTATATGAAAGATTTTTTCGAGAATACAAAATGGGGCAAAACGCCGCAGCCTTTTAGGGGCAAATCCCTGCAGTGCGGGTTTTGCCCCTGTTTGTTAAAACATGAATTATGCAGCTTTTAAATTATATTCACGGGTATTTACTTTTCAGGAACTACAAAAGAAAAACTCAGTACATGCCTATGACCGAAGATCAACTCGCTGCGGCACGTACACTGATCGCGAGAGGTGTTTCTATCCGTCAGGCGGCCAAAGAAATCGGGTTTCATGAATCGACACTAAGGGATCGACTTCAGAAAGGGGGAGGAACTAAGCTTGGGAGATTTCGAGCCACATTTTCAGCAGAACAGGAAGCTCAGCTGTTAACCCACTGTATCGACCTGGATAAGCGATTTTTCGGCCTTACTTTAAAATCTTTGCGATTCCTTCTATTTAAATATGCCGAGGAGAATAACATTCCCCATCAGTTCTCGGTTGAAGCGCAACTTGCAGGGAGGGATTTTACACGAGCCTTTATGAAAAGAAACAAGTTATCTTTGCGTGTTCCCCGGAAGACGAGTGTTGCCCGAACAATGGGGTTTAACAGGATTCAGCTCACTCAATATTTTAACAACTTAGAGGCCATTATGAAGAAGTACAATTTTTCTCCCAACCAAATTTTCAATATGGATGAAACGGGGGTACAAACGGTCCCAAATATACTTCCAAAACACGTAGCCCCCACGGGAAAGAAGGAAGTCGCTAAGGCTGTAGCAGCGGAGCAAGGTCAAACAGTATCCGCCGTGTGTGCAGTGAGTCCTATAGGCTATTTTGTGCCCCCCTTTTTTTATATACGCAAGAAAAAGAGAAAATCGGCTTCTTATTAAAGGTGGTC